TCGACGTGCGGATCTGAGGAAGGAAAGATTGTGTACGACCTGAAGCTCGGCGGCATTGGCTTTTTCTGTGCTATTCAAGCGAATGGTTCCCAGAGTTCCCGCTGAACTGGTATCACATCGCTCATCCTTTCTGGGCTGGATACATATTCAAGGGAATGCCTCACCATGGTTGTTGTTGGGAAACGTGTTGCATGTTTGCTTATTGTGGTTTAGTGGTTGAACTCACTTAACTGTTAAAACGTCAATTGTTTGCTCCCCTTCCAACGTCAACCAAGTCACCATATCAAGGCAACCAGCAATGTCGGCGATGACGGGTACAGGATGTGTTTCGTCTGGCGGGCAACAGGCAACCACCTCCATAGGCCTTTTTGCCAGTTTTCACCAGAGGCCTTTTCTTGGATCCCCACCTCCTCTACACCCCCCTTGAAGGGTTCCGCAGACCCCAATCCCATGGCCTTGCTAGGGGTGGATTTCGGATAAGAAGTGGGGGTAGGCGAGGACTCAGAAACCAAAGGTCCGCTCGAGCACCGTTCACCTGCTCAGCAGTCATGCTGGAGAGCCCGTTTTCCGAAACCGACGGCCTACAAAACCACCCTAAACCATGAACTCTAAATCCTAAACCAGCTCATTCTGGGAACGGAGTTTGCCTTTTGCCTCCTGAGATCGTGAGAGAGCGCAAAAAGCAAGAGCTTGGAAGTGTTCTTCCAGCTCACCCCTGAGGAAGGTCCCTGAAAGAATTCCTGAATCATTGTTGGTGAATTGTGTTTTTTGGTGAAATAAACCAGACTTCTACGCTACCACTCGGGGCACTTTCACTTTTCCGAAGCTCCTCTGAAGCTGGTAGTGGGCATCACCCGTGGGAGGTACGCATGGTATCACAGACATGGCTATTATCCACCATGCGAGTGTGTCCGTTTTAGGATTTGGACCCCCGAAAAAAGATGTGGTTGTCAACCTAGTTTTCCCAACCAACCCCCAAAAGTCGGGTTCTGAGCCTCTAACAACCCCACTCCGATCCGAGCCTCAAAAAAGGGCGAGCCGAGCCATGCGGATGCGCAACGCAGCTTGCATGTAGGTGTCCTTTTTGGTTGTTTTGGTAGAACTTAGCTGGCCCTGGTTTACCTGGTGGTTTAATCATCTACCAGTGCCATCTATTCGCCCTAAAAGGACACCTATGAGCTTGCAGGAACTGCAAGCGCGGCGCTCACGCGGACAAGATCAGGGGCTACGACCCCGCCAGCGAATGAAATGCTAAATTCAGGGCCTTGGGAAACGGGGGTACCGCAAGCTTCCTGACTTCTACAAGCAGTGAAGTGGCTGTGGGTCAAAACCAATTGTACAAATTTGGGGTAGGTGCACCACCCATTTTCGTCCATTTAAGTACTGTTGACCCCAGCTTGATAAGCCCGTGTACTGATAGGGAGGTGTTCCCCTCGAAAAGTGATGATTCGCCTGCTAAACCCGGGGACACCCCGTATCAATAAACTGGGGGTTGATTGATCCGGAGTGTCCATCACTTGTTCTCGGGTTTTAAGGGCAAGTGTGACCCCTGGTAGATTCCCAGGCTTTTTGAATGCGCTCGGCAGTTGACAACAGCGTGTTTGGAAGGTTTGTGCAGCATTTGTCCAGCAGGGCGTTCTTTTGGCGATGTGTTTGGCGGTCAATAATTTACCGCGGTTTGTCTGGTTTTGCTCACCTTTGAGAGTGTGATTCCTTTTGCCTTCTGTGCCGAACCCTGCCGGAAAACCATAGCGCCGTGTCTTTGTTTTCCGTTTCACTTAAGGAACCAGACTCTGGAAATTCTGCGGGAAAGCCAATACCAAGGGAATACCACCTGGAGTTTGCCAGGAGTTACTTCCCGTAGAGTTTCTGGCTGGTTTCTTACCCGGAGTCTTGGGCTTCGGGAAAGCGCCGGAAGGTTGAGGAGACTCGGAGCGCGGTTCCTGCGGTTCTGGGCCAAGCACCTGGACACAGGAATCTGCCGAGCGAAACTAGGTCCCCCAGTGATTGGTGCCCTTTCTCACCCCTTTTTTGGTTGGGAGATTCGGTTCCCCTACTAAAATAGACGAATCAGAAAAAAGTTGGCACCAACTTATTCTATCCTCTCTACTGGAGGACCTGGAAAACCAGAGCTTTCGCGGCAGAAGAGAAAGCGGCGCGGAAGAGAGCGGGCCAAAGCTACCGGAGGTAATTGGGCAATGGAGCTGGGCACACTGAACCTGAGCGGTTTTGTTTGCCAGATTTTAGCCATGAAGGTTCACTCTCGGGGATCCCGAATTTGAAGTTGGTGCATTGCTGTAAAATCGAATTAGAGGCTAAGAAAACGCTTCCTTAGCTCTTTAGAAGGCTCACTTCGAGCAACTTGAGCCATGAGGCCGGGCTCCGTTTGTTTCGCAGAGACTATTTTGCGGAACCAAATAGTTCCAGGACTCTTCCTGGAAGTGCCTGTCATAACATTGCTGAAATCGGTGTGAAAGGTACTTGGGTGTTCGGCCAAGTTGGAGAGTTCTTGGTAGCCTAGGTTATAACCACCGAACAAGCCCCCGTGAATGTGGGGTTAACCTTGTTGGGAGACAACACCCAAATGGCTAACTACTTGCCAACGTGGCAGCGAACATCCAAGTAGGGCCGAGGGTCGGATATGAAAGCCCTAGGGTCCAAGCACCTAGGCACCTAGGCACCTAGGCCCTCTTCACCCCCAAAAGGCGTCCGGTACGTTCCTGATTCTTGGACCTGAAGGACAATATCCTGATGGCACCACCCAAGAGGTCTCGTCTTCAGTGCTCATTTGCCGACCTCTGAGCCAGTCGTTTTCTCAAATTGTTAGATTTCGAGACGTGGTTCCCCAAGGCATACCTATGCAGGCGTGCCTTCTTTGGAGGCTCGGTGCCCTTTTAATTTGGGTTGTTTTTTTCAGCAAAGGGGCTGTACCTGGGTCTGGGTCCAAAGAGAACCACCGGAAAACCGCCGGTGTTCGTCCTTTCCATTTCCCAGCCTCTTGGTGGGGTTACCTTTTCGCAGGCCTTATGACTCGAGCCAAGCTTGGCAGTTGGCGCGCGATGCGATAGATGATGTGTCAACAATAAACGCGTCCGAAAAGCAAGCATCTACCTGGAGTCTCCCTCTGACCCTTAAAAATGGTTGGTCATGACCCAAAGCAAAAAATGGGTCACCAAGAAGTGGGCCAATATCTTTAGGATATGACTGCAAGCAATGGGATTAAGGTCGGATCCAGACCTTTTAGGCCTTGAAGCGGAACGCTATAGCACCCATTTCTCGGGGATTTATCATCAGGTCCTCTCGGTGATGGGCTGATGGCCAGATCTAAGGGGCTCAGCAGCAGGGTTGCAGTCAGACAGTCGCTTCGGCCTGTCAGTGGAGCGGCGCCCAAACCCAATTTTTAGTAGGTGGTTCTAATTTATAATACTCGAAAAGCTGAGCTTGTATAAACCTTTCTAATGTCGACCCCATATCAATCTATTAATGAATCAGCCATCTTGGTAGGGCCAAAAGTCCATGGGTTTTGTCTGCCGGATTTGCTTGAGGCGCCTTTTCAACCCCAGGCCCCAGACCGACGCAATGTGGGACCTCAAATGTCTGCTTCCATGTCTTATAGCACCTAGTGCTTCCAGTCACACAACCGTAGTAGGCAACCAGGTTTACCATCATGTAAAACCTAGAGGTAAAAGTACAAGGTTGCCTACTATAGTGGCGGGGCATGCCTTTTTTTCCCCGCACATGTTGAGAAGTGTATTTTTTTGTAGTTCACAAAGGAAAGAGGGTGAGTTGGGGTCAAGGAACCCTCTAATCAAAAAAAACATGGGGGCCCAGACTCTAGGTGTGTTTGTTCGAGAACCAATCGAGAACGTTTTTGACCGGAAGCTGCGAACTTGCGAGGGCAAACACCAAGGTGACCTGGTGGGCCGTTTGTTTATCCAACTGCCGTAGCTTCCATCTGTTCGTGGGAGTTTGTATAAGGAGTGTGTTGTTTTCCCCACCCTACTGCTTCATCCTTTTGAGTGTTTGTTTTAATCACGGGAAGTGTATGGTTGTGCCTGAAGATGGAGGGCAGTTTTGTTCGCTCAAATGATTGAGGTGTTGCCAACTCCCCTCCCCCCACAGGGAGAAGTCGAGAATTGGATAGCAGCGGTTAACTTTCCGACCTGCCTTTCCATTGCAAATGAAGGATAGCGTGTACCGACGCGTCGTTGTGATTTGGCCCTAGAATGATGACCTTTCTCACTTTGTTACATTTGGGAAACACATGGGAGTTAATGACTTTCCAACTTGCCTTTCCTCAAGTATGACCGCTGTACTAGATACCGGTGCCCATTGAGATGTGGGGCCAAAGTTATTGTTCTTATCGGGAAGCTGTTTTCGGCGCAGCACTCCTCCACGTGTTCTCCACAGTTTTTTGTTTAGTCTTGTGCTCCTGAGCCGATGCCCTTTCAGCATCCAAATGACATGTCGTGTGATTCAACTTTTTCCGGGGTCGTCCGCGGCACCCAACATGACGAAGCAACCTTCCTTGGAGTGCTGCAACTTAAGCTTGTAACAACTGCAGGAATTTTTGACCGCCTGAAGATTCTCCCAATCTCAGGCTTTGCTTTGGTGGTGGCGCTGGTGCTGTCGCACCTTGGCGCAACATCTAGAACGAAGGGCGGCGCGATGGTCCACGTCAAAACGGGCGTCACACGGATCTGAGCCACAATCAAAAGCCGGGTAGATGAAGGTTACGGGACAGTCCTAACCACAAATAGCTGAGGCCGCCTGCTTATTTCTTTACATGGTTCTGGGTAGACCGTTTTAATACCGGGCTTTGATTGTGACTCATCTGAGCAAACCGATCGACAAAGTCTAAATCATGCGCGATCGATCTGTGCTAGCATGATGAGGTGTTCTTGCTGACGGGGGCCCTTCGTTCCAGCTTGTGAATCATTACAACTCATCTAGGTCCCCCAGCTACGTGCCCTTTTACAGACTACAGAGAAAAGTTGGTGCCCTTATTCTAACCTGTCTACTTCAATCTCAACAGGGCCTGGCGAAGAGCCCTTATGTTTGACATGTGTGGGGGCCGTCAAACTGCGTCCCCCAAGGACAAACTGAACTGATTCTTTCTAAACCCCATTCAGGCAACCCCCCAATAGGAGCAAGCTGAAGTTTACGGAATGTTCCCGGATTCCTCAAATTCATCGGTAGGAGCCGCACAGGTCTGGAGGTTCCCACTTGGTTTCAAGAGGAACCGGAGGCTTGAATTCAAGTCACCAAATTGGGGCAAAAGATGTTCAGGCCACCAACATGCTGAATCTACTACTTGGCCAGGGGACGCTTGTGTGAAAAAACAAACATCAACAACAAAAAGCACTCGGGTGCTTGCCCAGTGTTGGCAATGAACAGGCCTTGTCGTTTGGTTGCAGGTACAAGGAGTACCCTTACTACAATTTTGTTCCTGGTATGGCGTCAACCTCTGACTAAAGGAGATGCCTATCTTGGAACTCCATGTTTGTTCAACACATGCAATGAAACGACCAGTTGAAATCAGGGGTAGGGCTGTCAATTTGGGGTAAATCCTTAGCTTCTATTTGCTTAAGGAAGCTATTTGCTTAAGATCTTTTGTTGTGTTCCATGCTGGTTTTGAAGGGACCTTGACCTGACTGCTAAATGAAGTTCATTATGTAGTTCTACGAGTTGATTCCAACCCTTCTGTTCAACCTGCTTTTTGTTGATAACCAGCTGTTTCTTCTGGGTCTTTGATGGTTTCCTGGAACAAGGATCCCAGAGTTTTTTCTCGAGTAGTAGCACCTTAGGGATGCAGCTTGGTTCTTAAACGGGCAGATCTTAGTTCTCGGTGGCTTCTTGAGCAGATGCCAGATCTATGTGACCGCTCTTGAAAGAGTTGCTCCTCACGCCGTGTCATGGTTGTGGCAGATTGGGCTCAGGGCCACTCTCTGCGATCATGTTGACCAGATCCAAGTAGAACCCGTCGTACTAATGGAGGGCCAAGTAGAGTTCCCTCCAGTGATGATTCCCCACTCAACCCCTATTTAGCACAGCCACCTATTCAACCACCTATTCAACACACTGGGGACTGGGGTTGATTATCCTGGGGTCAACAGTAACCGAGGGAATCTAGTGAAAGTCGTTCCAGCAGTCATGGGAATGACCCACTTCGGTATCAGAAGCTGACTGGCTGACTTTTGTTCTTGGGGATGAGCACAAGCAAACGGGTTATCTATCTTGCCGCAAAACAACCAGCAAAAGGGAGGTTTCCGTGTGCCAAAGGCCCTCTTACCAGGGTCTCCAAAGGAGCCCTTTTTACGAGGTTCTTGTTTCAGTGCTTTTATGCAAGCCACTGCAGTAGGTAGCCATGACCAGGTTGTTCATGGTTCTTTTTCAGGAAAGCCTTCGGTGGCTTGCCTAGCACCGAAATTGGGTTCCCTCCTATATGGCTGTGGGTCAAAACCAGTGGTACCATTTTGGGGTAGGTGAATTCACCACCCATTTTAGTCTATTTTAGTGGGAATTGGGATGTTCACTTGGGGGCACGACTTGGATTTTGACCCATGGCCATAGAATAAAACCTGTGATTTTGAACATCACCTTGGACAATTTCAAGTGGTTTCCTTTGTCGCGGCAACGGAAGGGCTACGTTCTGATCGCCCAGTTTCTGTGGCGTGCTGTTTAAGACCTTTCTCGGGTTCCCTGTAAGATCAACCAACTTCATTCTGCGGCTGTCTGTTTTAAGGGTACCCATGTCTTCGGGATTTTGAAGGGGAACCACCAGGAAAACCGAAAGCCATTTTGGGGGGTCCAACCTTCAAAAAGACGAGCCACTCATTGGCATGGCGTCCACTTCGCGAAAGGTCGGAAGAAAAAAGAAAAACAACAGTGTCCACTTCCCCAAAGGTCCCTGGTAAAACGACATCCGTTTTGGCCCTCGGCTCGGTTCGGCCAAACGGGGCCCACGTTTCTTCGATTTCAGGCGAGCGCCGCTCCTAGTGCCGCGGGTGGCACTGAGAGCCAGCGCAGAGGCTGGGCCCGAGAGTGAAAAGACGGCTGATCCATGCAACCGCTTAACATGCTGACCCCATGTTAACTAGGTCCCCTAGCTAGGTGCCCTTTCTCACCCCTTTTTTGGTTGGGAGGGTTCCCCTACAAAACAGACAAGGAAAAAATGGTTTCTAACCTCTCTACTGGAGGGCCTAGTTAATCAACCCCAGTTTGTTTAATTGGGGGGGGGTATCCCCGGGTGGGGCCTCCTTGTTTACTCAGAGGTTAACATGATACCCTAAAGAAGGAGGGACACTTGGTCGGGGTGGCTTGCTTTTTGATCCCTTCAAAGGGCCTGACTGAGTCGATGTTTAACAAAGAGTTGTTGCCCTTTTGAATGGCTGGGAGTCTCTGGGCGGTTTTCTGCAAGATATATCCAATGAGTTCGTTTTTTTGTTCCACAAAGAACGTCGAAGAGCCTCGACTGCTTTTGTTTGCGATCTGCAGTGTTCGATTACAACAACCAGCATCTACTCCTACAGATCAACATGGAACCAACAAATCCCACTTGTTTGTAGAGGCAACTGCTTTTGGGAATCGGACCCTTCAATCAGGCATACACTTCACTTCAAACACCCACATTGCTCTTTTTCCTGCGCTATGTTGAATCAACTTGCATTTAAACAACAATGAATTCGCTTGCCCTCCGACCAAACATGGACAGGGCTTTACTTCTTGATTACCCCAAGGCAGACTCCAACCCAGGGGTTCGTTTTCCCAAGCAGAAGTGGCTTGAAGTCTACCTTGGGATAATCAAAAAGTGGAACCCGATCTTCACTACTATCACGTTTGTTGTTTTTTTGGGGTTCGGTTTATGTTTACTACGGGGCTGACAAAAAAGTATGTTTTTTTTGTTTTTTTTTTTTTTTTTTTTTCCGAATCTATACTGTTTGGGTTGGACAGTGAACATGGCTTAGTGCAAAGGCCCCTCTTGAGGGGACTGGGCACCAAGACATGTTTGTTTCCCTGGTCCCTTGGTACCCTCGACCTTTTTGTTTAGTCTAAAGTGGTTGTTTTAAAGTCCTATTAGTTTGGTTGCGTTTTTTTAGTTGTAGTTTTAGTTGTTGTTTTGTAGTTGTAGTAGTTGTTTTTTAGTTGTAGTAGTTGCCCTATTATGTGTTTTCTTGTTTTTTAAGGGCAACCGGAAGGAACACGGACGCCATTTTGGGGGGTCCAAATCCTAAAAACACACGCAAATTGGATGGTCTTTGAGGGGTCTCAAGCTCAAGAACTCCCAGTTCAAAGGGCCTGGTTACGAGCTGCTTAGCACAGGGCTCCTGAAAAGATCTCCATTTTGCAACCAACTGAAGCATGTTGCTTTTTCAACACCAAAATAAAGAGACACCACCATTTACAAGTTGCAATGTTCAGGTGTTTTTCATGTAAGGATCCCTGTAGTATGAGCGGGCTCTCAAAGGCCAAGACTGGTTTTGAGGGTCGGGGCGAGTGACAAAAAAGGTGTGGCTCAAAAATGAACAAGCCAGGGTTACGCAGGTTTTGGTCTCTGGTTTCATTTACCTTCCCCAGAATTAGCTCCCCTTTTGTTTTGTTTTTTGCTTTTTTGGAGTCCCTTTGTTTTTCACTACCCAGGCAAAAAAGTATGTTTTTTTTTGCAGGGGTCCTAATTCCAGCCTAGTTACCAAGGTGCCACTTTGGTATATTTATTTGAGCCGCAGCGACTCGAGCGTTTTTCTGGCGCGGAATCGTGCAGAGGCGAAGTCTGGGTCTGGACCGACGCCCGAGGCCGGGGTTTAGAGGTGCGTCACAAGTTCCACTGATTGAAACTTGGGTTGGCAAACCTCACCCAATTTGCTTCACTGCTCTTGGATCATGTTTAGTTTTTTTAGTTTTGGTTTTTGGGTTCTGTTCATTTTTACTGGGGGTCTGCAAAAAACAGTCAGTTTTTTGCTACCATACCAAGAGTAGAGATGGAACCTCACCCAAGGGTTTGGAAGGAACCTTAGGGGTTCTTCAAAAGCTTCTGAGAACCATTCTGGCGGGGAAAAAAGGGTTGTTGAATGATTGGCCCTAGGTCGGAAGACAAGTTCGGCGGCAAATGCCGTGCCAAGCCAGTCAGGTTTTGTGTGTCACATGTCCCCGGTATCTGAGGCCCTCGGGATTGGAGGCCCAGGCCACAGACCGATCTTTCCACAGGGCCATCTTCCCTTCATCTATTTGGGCCGGATGAATCCGAAGTTTTCGGACTTGCTCCAAGTCTAAATCCGGAGCTGTTCGGAGGAAACCCCGGGGATATGTTGGGGGCAAGCACTTAAATCTTCATTTTTCCAAGAAAAAATGGGCCTAAGCCATGAAGCAAACATCCTAAGGTTTGGAGGCAGTGCTCCTTTCTTTTCTTTTCTTTTTTCTAATTCAGTCTTCAGCTTGAAGGCTCCGAACATGGTGGGTTTGTCCCATCGTTTCCTTAGCAAAGCCTCCAAGAAGGGCCCTCCCAAGAAAGACACACGATGCGGTGGTTGTGGTTCACAGAGTCTGCGATGTTCTGCGCATCCCCGCCCCCTCAAAAATGGAAGTGGTCTCGGGTTGACCTCTGGAGTTCGCTTGGTTTCATCTCAGTTGTTCAGTGGCACCAATTATTTTCCTTTTTTTTGGTGGCTGCCCCGCTAAAACGGTCTTCCCCAAAAAGGGTTCCAATTCTTTTTTTTCCCCAGGGTCACGGAACAACTGAGTCATCCCTTTAGCAGGACTAGAACATGGAATTGGGTCCCGGACCAGGACCGCCACCCCCGTCCCCCTTAAGGTAGGGATTGTGCAGCGTGTGTCCCAGGCGTGGCGCGACTTCCGCGCCCAGTTGATCGCACGCGAGGCCCAGGAGGAGGCGCGGCTGGCGCTTTTCAGCCGCGGGAGTTCGAGATGAATACGCCCGAAGCTTTGGGAAGTTGGATTACTTCCTTTTGCTTAAGAAGGTTGTTTATTTTCCTCTGTCGGTTTTAAAGGGCGTTTTGAAGGGAATCTATCACCACTGGATTTTTTTTGTTCTAGGGGACTTGAGCAAATGGAGGGTTATCAACCCAGTCAACCCCATGGAATGTTGACCCCGGATGAAGAAGCCCGTCCTCTCAATAGAAGCTTGTTGCCAGTGATGAATCCCCACTAGGAGGGCACCCTGGATCAACCTCAGTAATCCGGGCTTAGGAGTTTTATCACCCCATTGCAACAGCAGCATGTACAATCTGAGTTGGCCACTGTTTTACACGCCGAGTGCCAGCGGACTAGCCCCTTGTTGCATGCAGCACCATTCACTGAGAATCTCCTTGTTGCAACGTGTTTTTTTGTGTACCCTTTGAGGGAGGAAAAATGGAAACCATAAAGAAAACCATCAACCTTGACAATCTTAAGCAGTCGGCAAAAGAGGAACAACTTAGTGTGGTCGGCGTGGCAAGGCCAGGGGAAGAAACATTAGGGCCACCTACCCACCAGGAAGGTTTTCTGAAGCAGCCTTGGTCTGCCTGAGAGTATTTTCAGAAGCCAACTTGTTATCCCCATCCTAGGCGGATATGCGTGGCATGCTTTTTGGGGTATCTTCCTCAGGGCTCACACAACCCCCAATCGGTTGTGTGGATTGGCGGATTGGTGGTGGGTTTTGGAAGCCTGCCGGAACACCTCCAAACCACCAACTAGAGGGAAGCTGAATAGGGCCATGGCTTCAACGTGGTTTCCCTTGATGTTCCCTTTGATTTGTTGGGACACTGATGTTTAGAGAGACATACAGAGAACCCTGTACTTGCAGTTTCTCCAAACTCCAATTTGCACACAAATCAATAAGGCTTATTGTTGAGTCATGATGTTGAATTGACGGTTGCTTATGTTCATTAGAACAAGGGATGCATGATGCGCAGGTACTAAATCGTGATCGTTATTCAGATCAATAGTCCCCCAACTGGTCTTAGCCCATATATATATATATATATTCATTTACATGTGTACATACTCATACATATATATATGTATACATATAATATAAATATATATATATACATATAATATATATATATACATATTTATTTATGTATTTATCAATCCGAACAAATCATCACCACTACGAAGCGCCCTCACACCTGCTGGACCTCGCCCGCGGTAGGCGCAGAACCGGAGCCGCCACGTGGCGCCGCGGAACGAGGAACTGCTGCGGTCACAAAGCGAGGAGCCGAAATGGGTCCCGGTACTCAGTCACTTTTTGGGTTCATGGACTCCAGTCACTTTTTGGGTTGGTTGCCATTTTAGTGGGAAACAAAGAGTTCTCAGTTGTTCATGTTTATACCATCCTCATCTTTTGTTCATCACACGAGGTGCTCAGTTGCTCAAAGAAGGATGGTTTTAGTGGTAGTTCCCATTTTAGTGGTAAATGCAATTTTCTCAGTTGTTCAGTGGCACTAATTCCTTTTTTTCCCCTTTTTTTTTGTGACTGCCCCACTAAAAATGGTCCGAGCCCCAAACAGGGTTCCCTTTTTTTCAGGGTCACTGAACAACTGAGGGTGTGGTCGGGAGGTGGGGGGTTGGGGCTCACTGTTGTTGGCATGTTTTAGGGTTTTAGCCTCCGTGTGCTTAACTAAGAATGTTCACTTTTTCCCTGGTGGGGTTTAAAGGGAATCGATTTCACTACTGGAAATAGTCTTAATTTTCCAGGGGAGCTCAAGCAAAGTGAGGTTAGGCTTTTTGGTTCTGTTCCTTTTTTAGCTGAGAAACACCACAATTACAAGGGGTTGGACAGAACTCACTGCAATGTCCATGGGTGGCCTTTCTAGGTCAGATTGGTTAAGAATAGATGGCGCTGGTTGCAGGTTGGTTTCATGATTTTTGCGGGCCGTGTATTTGACCAAAAGGCCATGCCAACGACTGGGCCTGTGTTACCTATCCAGTGACTCAGGCTCCGAGTTCCTGGACTTTTGCCGCGGTTCGGAGAAGTTTTCGGAATGGGTAGCTTTATTAACCATCCCCCCACAAAAACAAGAACCAGAGGCAGCACTGGCAATAGGTCTGACCGCCACCGGCTTTTTCGGCACCAACCATAAACAACTTTGGGCCACGCCACTTAGGGAGCCGGGTCTTTCTTGAAAGCAAGCAGCCCTGGGCAAACAGATATCCGGTTTTTGAAAAGAAGGATGGTTGAAAAGCATGGAGTCGGAAAATCAAGCCCTAGAAATTTAGTACATGAACAAAGTTTGGACTACTTGTTTGGGCCCTACTCACTGAGGAAGTGAGTAAATGGGTGTTTTTTTTTTTTTTTTTTTTCTCGGGGGTATCAGGTTTTGGTGGTTTTAAAGGACATCCAAATGGAGACAGTTGTTTGCTTCGAACAATCCCCACCTAAGAAATTTGCTTGGCTAAGCTGGTCTACAACAACACAGGCACCCAACAGCTAATCCGACTGCGCGCGGGGCCCCAAGCATGCTGCTGGCTGATGCGACGGAGAAACTCAGTCAAACCCGAATGAAACCAAGGTAGCGTTAGACAACAAAAGCACGCTTTCTGCACGCGGATGCTCCGAGAACCTCTAAGCGCTCAATCTTCCTCATCTTGGGTCTTGTGGCTGAGTACGCCTTCAATGGCTGTCCTGGGCCGGAGTTTGTTGCGGTGTGGTGCAGCCCCACACCTTGGGCCGTCGGGCTCCCCTTTGCCCGGCTGACTGGCTGTGTCTTGGCAGGAGGGTTACGGTGACATGTAAACTTTGGGGGTTTTAGGGACTGGTGGAAGGGAGAACATCTGCTTACAGTAGAAAAATTCTGGCTGGCCGGGCCGGCGCTGGAGTTAGCATGAAGGTTTGCTGTAATCGGATCAGACCCCTCCCGCAAAAAAAACACGCAAGCCATTGCCAACAGCTTCGAGTCTTCCAGCTCCAAGCCCTCCCAGCTCTCCAGCCCTCGGAACCGCTCAGAAGATGTGGGCACGTCCTTCGCAGATGCAGCCCCAACATCATCCGGAGACCTCCGGCCCTCGAGCCTCGCAGCCCAAGCCTTCAGCCCAGTCTTCCAGCTCCGACAGCTGGCGCAGCTTAAAGACCTCAAGGCCAAACATGTCCGGATGCTTAACTAGATCCCCCGGTACTACTAAAATCGACTACAGAAAAAGGGGTACTCTTATCCTCACCTCTCTACTGGAGGACCTAGTGGGTGAGCCGGTCCGCAGGCGACCTTGCAAGAAAGAACGCGCAGTACCTATTTTCATCGGATACGTTCGCTCAGATTGCCATCAGAACAACAGGCCGGGGGTTGGAGTAGGGAGCAACGTGTTCACTGGCACAAACTAACTATGCACATGCAAGGTACTTGTTTGTTTCTCTGTCTCTCTCTCTCTCTCTCTCTCTCTCTCTCTCTCTCTCTTGTTTTTTGTTTGTTTCCCCCGCGCTCTCTCTCGCTCTTGTTCTTTCTTTCTTTTTTTCCTTGTGTATCTATCTCTCTCTCACTCTTTGCTTTTCTCTTGCTATCTTTTCGGCAAAGGTTGATGGCACATGGGGTGTCAAAGGTCTCTTGGCCCCAAGAGTCTTGTCAACAAGTCGGTGCTTCCCAACCAGTCGTGCCCTTTTCCCCGTTTTTGGGTGGAGGGTTGCCCAACAAAAATAGACTACAGAAAAAAGTTGGTACCCTTATTCTAACTTCTATTGGAGGACCTAGCCAAACAGGAGACAGAAGTTCCAACTCCGAAGTGCGCATCGAACCGCCTTCGCGATTCGGGGATTCGGGATTCCGAATCCAACTTCCTGACAAAATGAAGGTTGTCGGAGGCCAGGTCAAGCGAGGAAGTTTCCTTGTAAATTCTCAATCATGTTTGCCAGAATTACACTTCTTGAGTTTCTGGGCTTTATACGTTTTGGGGAAGACCATGTTAGTGGTGAACAACAGGTTCAGCCCCTTTTTGGCCAATCCACTCAGGAAGTGAGTGATTTTGAAGGTGACTTACCCTAAAACTAAAGCCGAGAATCCCACCAAGAAAACAAGCCTCACATGAACCACTTGCTCAAAACCCGGGTAGATGAAGGTTAGTAGGGGACAATCCCCTTGCCAAAAACAGCTGCGGAATTCCGCCTTTGTATTTCCTTAGATGGTTCTGGGTCGTGCCCAGTTGAATACCGGGCTTTGATTGTGATGCACATGTGGACGTGTCGGTGTCAGGAGCTTTGGAATGCGCCTCGGCACCGTGGGATGGATCGATCACTTCCATGCGGGTCCAAAGGGTCCCTTAGGTTTTTCAGAGCCTAGGTGCCCTTCTCTCCCCTTTGTTGGTTGGGAGGGTTCCCCTACTAAAGTAGACTACAGAAAAAGTTGGTTCTCTTATTCTAACCTCTCAAATCTGGAGGACCTAGTCCCTGCTTTGACACATTGCCGTCCCTTCAGAGATCCACCCCACACTTGGCAACTAAGAAGGTGATGCTCAACATCGGCCGGGGTTTCTATGACCTGGGTCCCCTTTTCACCTTTTCGCTTTTCACCAGATTCGCTTGCCTTTGCTACCATCACCAAGTTGACTGGGCTTCCATCATGTTTTTTTTTTCACAACTTACCATTTGGAGGTTCGAGCAGCAAAGCCAGCAGCAAACGGTGCCCCGTTTGCCATGGGTTATTCGACTGGAGTGTGTTGATTGCCCATGGCAATGAGATATCGCTCCTTCTTCCCAGCTGTGTCCTTTTTTTCCCCTTTTCGCTCAGTGGGTTTCCTCCAAATGGAAACGTGCTCCTTCTTTTTCTATCGGCGGCTCACTAGGTGACTGGGGCGTTGACAAACATGGCATTTGCAGAATAGAACTCATTGTGGTGACCTTGCCTTGGGGTCAAACCAGGTTTGACCCCATGATGAACGTATTTTCCTTAAGGACCCGCTTGTTCAGGAGAGATTGAAATATGCCAGTTCGCCCAAATGGGTTGAAGCGCGGAAACCTTTCGTTCACACATGAATTTGGCACCGAACTCGGCCGACGATTTGTTGGGAAAAGGATGCCCCTGGAGTCATGACCCTAAAACAATGGGTCAATGACCCCCGAAATATTTTGGGGAAGACCCGAAAGAGGCTCTCCGAGAGTCCACCTGAACTCTTTCCGCGTGTTTTTTCAGGATTTCCGAGCCATTTCCTTCCATTTGCTGAAATGAATATTTGTTCTTTTTCCCGGTTGGGTTTAAAGGGAATCCATTTGACTGCTGGAAGCGTATTTGTTTTTTTCCAGGGGACTCAAGCAAAAGGATGTTTCCCTTCTCAGAATCTCCAAAAGTGGCAATCGTTTCAATGCAAAACCACCAGTAAATTGATCAACTTATGGGGAAATCCGGTGCGCACCACCCACCCCATAGCGATTTGTTTTGTGCTGCATCCGATTCTTGATTCGGGGAAATCCAGCTCGACCCCTGAAAATGGAAATCACTCCACCCCGATTTGTTTCTTTTGCATCCCAACCCTAAAACCAACCTGAACACGAAACCCAAATTTACCCGCCCACCCCAAACCCACCCTACACCCACCCTACACCCGCCCTACACCCACCCTACACCCACCCCCCACCCCAAACCCGAGGAGTACATGCACGGCGCCTGGGCCCACGTGGCCCCCGTGGAGGTGGGGGGCCTGCTGTGCCGCGCCCCGCTGCCCGCGCAGCTCACGTGGCTCATGCGCCAGGCGCGCGGTTCCTTCGGGTTCTTCGGATTCCGCTGCGGCAAGGGCAAGGGGTGCGGCAGGGGGGGGTTCTTACTTCCATTTGCTGAATGTTTTTGTTTTTTTTTTTAATACTTTAACAAAAAGCAACATGAAAATGTTGGTTTTAAAAGGAACTTTTCACTACTGTATTTTTTTTCGCGGGTCTTAACCAAAGGAACGTTTAGGCTCATAGAGAAATTTGGGTCGTCCAGGTTTGAGGACGAACCCCCCAACTCACCAACATGTTTAAAGGAAATCATCATGTTTGGGCTTTGCTCAAAATTTCAGAGCTAGGGCAAACCGCAGAAATTCAAGTCTTTGGTTCCATTTCCCGAGGTGCATAGTTTTGAGCCACAGCCATTTGGGTCTGTCCAATTTAGGGGACCCCCCAACAAAGAATTTGTGGTTTCCTTGTTTTTGAACCAACCCAGGGATACTCAAGAGAGCTATGATCAAGACCTGGAGGATTTGCCACGGGTGTTGTTTGGCAAAGAACGAACACATGAACAGAGTTTGTTCGAAGCTAACATCTTTGAATCAAAGTGGGCATAGTTTACTGGAGGAGAATCTACCAAGGGGCGCTTGGCACCTGTGGAGCTCAAACCCCTTCCTGAGCCCCCAAGAATCACTTGGGTACCTGAAGGGACTCTAGAAATTTTCGATTGAATGGCCCAACGACCTTTTTTTTTCCCGGGAATGGGGCCCTGGGATCCTTACGAGATTCGCTCAGAAGAAACAGGGCCCAGTTTGGAGGTTTCAGCGGATGGAAAGGGATGCACGGGGGCCTTATTGTTGTTTCTCGGCTTTTGGGTTGCTATTCACCCTCGACTCTCTCATGGAAGTGGACGGAGGAGGATTCCCCGAAACGAAAGTCAAGTTGGCTGGTTCGCCAGTTGCTCTTCTTTTTTTTCTCCCTTTTTTTAACACGCACTTTACCCCAAAAGCCAGCAGTGACTGAAAAAAGGCGATCGCAACTTGGCTATCTAGGTGTCCGAAACCATGCGATCGTCAGCTTCTGGCGGGTTCCTGGTGAATGGACGCCCGAGACCTGGACTCCTGGACTTCGGGTCGTGAGCCTCCAGCCTTCGGCGCTTTCCGCGTCAGGGCGCCGAGAGCTTCTGGCCCCAGCGCGTGCGGGAGGCCTTGCTGAAAGAGATCCCCGTCATCGAGGGTCGCAGCCGCAAGGACGCGAAAAACTGTTTTTTTTTTTTTTTTTTTTTTAGTAAAGCTAAAAAAGAGGAGAACAAAAAGCGATGTCGAGTCCCGACGTTCAAAGGGCCGAGTCGAGTCGTCGGTTTTTGTTTGAGGCTATTGGATGGGGGAAGCCAAGGGAAACGAAACTAGGTGGGTTCTAAGGGAAATGAAAACGGAAAGCCACCATTTAGTTGGGACCGAGTCCTACTTTAAGACACCCAAAAAGGATTGTTGTACTACAAGATGGGTGTAATGTTAACCCTGGATTGAGCGGAACCCGTGGTTTTCCGGTGTTAGCGGGAATCCGTTCACTTTTGGAAAGGTGGCAGCCCCGAATAGTAGGAAGGGTTTACTAATCCGGGTTCCCATTTTTTAAGCACACCAGGCATCCACCAGGTTTTCTCTTATGGAATGGTTAAATGACCTTCTTGGGGCTATGATGGCTGGCCATTTGCCAGCCATTGGGTGTGTTGGTGCAGAGATCCTTTTCTTGAAGCCTGGCAAGAATTGTTAACGAGAAGCCCTCAGTCTCCAAGGATCAAACACGTTCGACTTGTCTTCTGGACCAACCGGGAGTTGTTTGTTTGAACGCGAGCGTCATTGAGGGACTGACTTTTGTAAGGCACTGGCGCTGCCAAAGATCTTGCCATGCTAGCGCAGCATTGCACTTCTGGCGAGCTCGCCTGGGTAAAACGAGCTCACTCGTAGGTTCCTCGATCACTTAGAAACTCCTGAGTTGGTTGGTGCTGTCACTGATTGAGATTACGCAGCCAGCAGCTTATTTTATGAAAAACACATGGCACAGCAGATTTTGGCAAACGAGCAGGGGTGCTGATTGCTTTGGTTGATCCCGTCTTCGTGTCTCCAGTTTGCTGCTTTGCTCCCCACGTGGGCAGCGGTTGGGCGCACTACGTTCCTCCATCGTCGGGGTGTTTCGCGCACAGACACACACAACCGTTGTTGTTTGTTTTTCTCTTTGCAAAATGTCAAACTTGCAGTGGCACCCTTGTTTCCTTTCAGAGGGGCTTCGCTTTTCCATCACTCACTTGCCCAAAGCGAATCGACCTTTTCATCTGATTTGACCTTTTAGTTTTCCCGCTTTTTGGGTACCCATTTTCAGGGCGACCATTTTTTTCCAAGAAAGGTTGGACGCTGCCACTTTTGGAGGTTCCAAAACGGGAAAGCGAGGACCTACATATCTTCAGTGGCCCGCATTTGGGTGATCCCCTTCAACTTCTTGAAGGCAGCTCAGCCATCAACGTGGCCTTACGACGCGTCGTGTTGCCCAAAGGGGCCCTCGGACAAGAAGAAATCCTTCGCAGGAAATGTTCGAGACCTGGTCCAAGAACACCATGTTCTGCACCTCGGCGGGGCTCGCATTTTTTTCCCTAACAAACTTTTGGAAAGTGAGAGACTAGGTCTCCCAGTGGTGCCCTTTTGCCCTTTTTTGGTTGGGAGGGTTCCCCTACTAAAATAGACTAATCAGAAAAAAGGGTACCCTTATTCTCCTTTTTTTTATTGGAGGACCTAGGAAAGACCATGCGGAATGGGAATCAGAAAAATGCCCTCGATGTCCATGTTTGGAGTCAAGGATGAAATCAGGGGACCCGTTTTTCGCGGGTTCTATTCAACGAAACAATGCGTGAATCGTATCCGAAAGAAACTCATGAAGTTCGAACCCATTCAACAGGTCACCCAAGTTTCGATTTGTTGCGACTTTGCGAGTTGCCTTTTGTTTCAGGTACTCAATGTCGCTTCACAGATTTCGGGACTGGGGCATGTGAGAAACTGGTTGGTAGTTGACTTGAAAAACTGACCGGGGTGATAGAGGCAAAGCAAAAAGGGGCCGATTCGAATCGGACTCAATGGCTTGAGTGACCTTTGGGCCGTGCCCAGATTTGCCAGCCACGGGTTGTGCACATTTTTTTCACAGTCTTCGATCTCCGAAGACTTGGTGCTCAGGGAATGACCGAGCCCGGCTGTTGGGAATGAAGAGCGGTTTTGGGCTTTGGATTCGGATTCCCGAATAAAGTTGGAGCCATGGCTGGTGTATAGGGGTCGATTGCCCCTTTCTTTTGCTCGAACCAGCAAGAGAATAAAAATCTCACGGCGAGTCCGAAAGCCGAAAGCTCCCTGAGCTTCAGAAAGGTCTGTCGCTCTGCGCCGTCAAAACCCGGGCTAAGGGAAGAGATTCAGTCAGGAGTTTCAACATTCCTGGAGTCTCCATGACCCTTTAAAAATGAGTCAATGACCCCATTATTTTGGGAAATGACCTCGTTTTTCAAGGATCATGGAGACTCCAGGTTCACTCGGCAAGTCAGGCGGCCGACAGGCCCTTTTCTGTGAATCTGGATGCCTTTTAGTGGAAATTCCGCGAGAGAGTGGCATTCAGTGTCCGAGTGGTTCCATTTACCCCACCAAATAACATGGAACTTAAAGGGACCCCCGAACGTCAGGTTCCATGTTAAGTGGTGGGAGGGCTTCTTTGGTATGTCTGTAGGGGCTTCAGACATTCACCGGACTTAGCTTAAAACGAGCCCCGGCAAGTGCCAGCTTTACTTCAGCCAAGAACCTCCTCCCACCATAAGTCGTGGAACCCTCCAGGGTCCAAGTGTGGAAATGCCGAAGGGTTACACCCCTTGAATGAAGCTAAGCCAACAAAACCACGAACAACACTCCCATCCAGGGTAAGACCTTGGCTTGCCCCTGGCTGCCCACTCGGGAACGGTGGACATGGTCAGGCTACAAGCTCGCGGATCGGCTGACGATGGAAGCCGCTGGGTTGCTGGTTGGGTTTAAATGAGAGAAAGCCACGGAAGACCAAACCGGGAAACCAACTCGCAGGGATACAGGAACCGGGGATAGGGGAGGATTCCCCCGTTTGATGCACCTTGACGAAGTTTGATACGGGAAATGGCCCCAAGGGAATCCCCCCATATCCCCGCTCCGCGTTCTCCGTAACGAACGCTTGTTCGTTTGTCCAAACCAAACCAGCGGGACCAGGTTTGGAGGGAAGCTGGAAAAAGAAGAGATAAATTTCATTGAGGGAGAAGCTTCTTTCCCAGCTGAAAGCTATCATGGTTTCGAAGTCCATCTCGCATCGTTCAGAAATCCTAGTTGCAGATTCGATCTTCTATTTCAAAACAAAGGCCAAGCAAGCGAGTGGCTTAAAGCAGGGTTCAAAAGGAGGGTTGGGGGTTGAGGCATTGTGTATAGCTGGGCTTATGTCGCCTTTGGGCCTGCAACCTTCGAACCTTTCAGCAAGGGTCGCCATGTTAAACATGCTGACTCCCAGCCATCCGGTTCCTTAGCCTTTTAGCTTTTTAGTTGGTTTAGTGGTTGGGTTTCCATTTGACCCACTAAAAGTGAGACTCACTTTTAGCGGGGGATCTGAAAACGGGCAACCGGCAGCCCAGTAAAGACACTCAGGATTAAGCAGGATGCCTTGGACTCTGTGTGTGTGTGTGACCCTCATGCAGCATGGCTAGGTCCCCCAGCTAGGCGCCCTTTTACCCTTTTTTGGGTCCCTACTAAAATAGACTAGAGAAAAAAGGGGTATGCCCTTATTCTAACCTCTCTACTGGGGGACCTAGTAGGTCTTTGTGATCAGCAGTGGTTCAAAGAGCCTCCTTCCGTACGCGACACATCGGGGTTGATCACAAGGTCATTTACATGGGATGACCACCGGTTGGAAAGCCACTCGAAAGAAGACATTTCAGCCAAAGGGGAGTTGAGTTACCCATGGTCATGTTCGGGGGCCGAAGGGAATACTGACTTCCAGTTGCTTCAGTTATTTCGATTTTTTGCCCTGTGGGTTTTAAAGGGGGTTGCCTAGGGGAAACAGAGTTCCCAAAAAACCTGCTCATTTTTGGGTACCCTCCCACCAGCCAACATGGGTTTTGTTTTTCAGACCCCTGTGGAAAGACTACTTTCCTCTTCTAGGTCCCCCAATAGTGCCCTTTTACCCTTTTTTGGGGGAGGGTTCCCCTACTAACATAAACTACAGAAAAACGCTGGTACCCTTATTCGAACCCCTCAAATCTGGAGGACGTAGTCTTGGTTAGTTGGCCTTTTTTCACAGACCCATGCTAGTTGGTGGGAAGGTATCACGATTGGAATATGTTCTCACTTTGCAAAACGCGAAGAAGCAAAGGGGCCCCACATGAACAAACATCTTGGTGCCATCTTGGTGCCATAGGGGCCGTTAGTTGCAAACATCAGGTACCACTCTCGTGTTCCAGAAAGTGTTTACCAAAAGTAGCACTCTACCGTTTGAACAAGGTCAGGTGGGACTTGGACGGTTTCGTATACTTATGGTATACGTTTGTATACGATAGTATAAACATGATGACGCAAAAGTATGCAGAATCAAGACGCACGTTGCGAGCGGCGCCCCAGGCCTTGCATCAGCTTGCAGAGAGGAGCCAGGATATCCGGTCCCTGACCAATGCAGCCCCTTGGAAAAGAAAGACAGTGCCCATAGGACTGGTTGCTTCTCTTTGGGTTGTTGACATATTTGGGTATTTTGTGGTAGTTGACACATGTTGGTATCTTTGTTGTAGTTCGGAACTATTAGTTGCTTCTCTTTGCATCGGTGTTGTTTACATCTGATCGCGGTTGAGTCTGTTGAGTCCAATTTGTGTTTGGGTCGGTATTTGGACTCAACCAGGTATTGGACTAGAAATACCAATGCAACCAAATTGGATTTGGAATTTGGACTCAACCCAAATTGGACTCAACACAATTTATTCGCACTTTGGTTGCGTCGAAAAGGCGGTGTTTGTTGCTTACAAAGCCCATGCTATGCTCACTCCATGAATTCCTCAGGTCTTCCAGCCATCGGCCTTGTAGACGTGAGACGGTGAGGAGATTCGTTCAACAGTCCGCGCGCGCGCGCGCGGGGCAAAAGCCCTTTCAGCTGTTGCCCAGTGGGTTGCTTTCTTTTTTGTTTTTGCTTTTTTTGGGGAAGGGTTCCCCTTGAAAGTCAACCAACCAAAAACAGGATGCCCAGTTTTCCTGGGCATCTGAGCTTTTTTAACAGTTCCCCTGTCTACTGATATGTGGTGTTTTTTTGGCCACAGGGCCGAGAACCCGATCCTTTCGACGTGACTTCATAGGTGTGCTGCGCAGGCTCGCCCGAGCTGGCAGTTTTGGGGCCAGCGCTCAGGTTCCGCGACATGGATACTTTGGCGCACTTTGCTTGGATGTTAGGACTTTAACTTTTTGCCAACTAATGGGTTTTCCATTAAACCACTAAAAGTTAAACTTTTAGCAGGGGAGCAGCAAGCAACCGAGGATACCTATTCACCCCCAGTGTGACGGGGCCATTCCCAAGCCCTGGGTCATTCCCAAACCCCGTCGCACCAGCAAGTCTCTCGACTCCGGGCTGGAACTTTTCGACCCGAGAGAGGGGTTTCGAGCGCTCAATAGAATCTACGCGTGGCAATTGGGTGTGTGTGTGTGTGTTTTGGAGGGTGCACTGTTGGGTTGGCTGAAGGGGAAACAAAAGGAAAACCACAATTCGTGGGGTCCCTTGGAGAAGACACATCCAATTGTTGAGTCATTTCAGCATCAATTCTTCGCTTCCCTTTTGGTGTGAGAGCTAAAAAGAAAAAAAAACAGGAATGGCTCAACATTTTCACCAGGGGCGGCAAACCGCAGGTTTTGGTACCCATGTTTTCCACCTAAACTCCGGTTTTTTGAGCGATATGGGTGTGGCTCAAAATTTTCACCATCGGAGGGGCAAGTTACGCAGGTTTTGGGTTTCCAGTTGCCACACTTACCAGGGTTCCATACCCATTTTGGATTTCCTTTTGTTTTTTAGGAGCCACAGCCATATGAGGATTTTGTTTGCCTAGGACAAGGAGTTGATCCAGCTCTATGGTGACATGGATGCTTGGCCGCGAATCAAACGCTGGGGGGTGAGATCAACGTTCCCTTCGGCTCCCGGCGAAATGGGCAACTCCACTCCCATGTGGTTGAAAAAAGTAGTGGTCACATGGGTAACTCCACTCCCATGTGGTTGAAATATTTCGTCTTAGTGGTCTTCCAGGCAATGGTCATCCCATGTAAAAAAAAAAACCATTTGATCAACCCGGGCTTCTGCAAAAAAAGACAGACCCGCCTGCTTCAAAGGCGGCAGAAGTCTTGGGGGTAATGAATTCTAGGGGGTAATTATGGAGACTCCAGGGCTGGTTTGTTGTCTACATGCTGCTACCGTGACTGCCATGCACTCCCAATCTTCCATTTAATGCTGAAATGCATATGATTGTTTTTCCCTGCAAGTCCTGGGCTCTTGTTTCGTTCCCTAGGCACACTCTGCAGCCAAATCAACGGGATTCCAGGTAGCTCACAGAAAGCAAATGCCGGCCGTAGTAGGCAATCGGCTCTTCTCCCTCTAGTTGCTAAAGGCTGGTTCTCTTGCCCACAGCAGGTACCCAGGGGAAACCATCATGTAAAGCCTCGTAACAATATCTGGTCACCTGCTTCAGTAACCGGGTGCTCGGAAATGGCTGCTGATGGGTCCAGAGCCACAACTGCTGCTTTCTTATGACACAGGGGTGCTCTCCTGGGTTTGGAGGTGCGCTCGTTGGCAGTCTTGGGGGGTTTGGGGGTTTTGGGGGTTTTGGGGGGTTTTGGGGGGTTTTGGAGGTTTGGGGTTTGGGGGGTTTGGGGAATTTGGTCAAACTGATCTTCTCTTCGGATCGCCTGTGATCCTTAAGAAGTCTGAACAGACAGGGATCAATTTCGGGGTAGGTAGGGACTCGGGTCCCTGCAGAAGTTGTTAGTCGTTGAGGAGAGACAAAGAAGTGGCATGTGCAAGAATCGCACATACACCAAGCCATCATCTCGTAGAACAAGGGAGAATGTACTTGTCAATTCGAGTGACACCATAATGGACTATGGGGACGCTAGTGGACAAAAGGTTTGGTTACTGTGTTTGGCCAGACCGCTCAGGAAGTGAGAACATTGGTGCCAGGGTATGTTAACAAATAAAGAAACCAACCCGCGCCCGCAAACTATTGCACACCTGCTTAATTCTACAAACTTGTTTGTCTTTTGTGTGTTGCCAAGAAGAGGGCAAATAGAAAGGGTGAAGGGTTGAGCAAGGATTGAAACAAGAAGCTTCGGAGGCTTAAAAGCAACACTTCCCCAGCAAGCTTGGATTGGTACAGAAAGATTAGGGTTTAAACAGAGTTTCCCGCAAAAAGAAGCAACAAAAAGCTTTGGAGGCGAGAAGGCAACACTTCTCCCACAGAAGCAGCAACAATTGGATTGGAACAAACAGGTTTGGAGGGTTTAAACAGAGCTGCCCACAATCGAAGCAAGAAGTTTCGGCCCGGGAGTCTTTGAGGAGAGCACCTGGCAATCGGTGTGCCTGGTGCTGAGCGCCGTTGGGGACATGGCCACGGAGGCCGTGACGCTGAACCGACCCTTCGCAAGGCGACAGCGGCACGGGTGTATCTCAAAACGTGTGGCTCGTCCTTTTTGGGATTGGGACCCCCCAAAATGCAAAACAAACCCGGTAGTGCCCTTTTACCCTTTTTGGGAGGAGGGTTCCCCTACTAAAATAGACTACAGAAAAAAAAGTACCCTTATTCTATCCTCTCTACTGGCGGACCTAGGTGTGGCTCGTCCTTTTTGGGATTGGGACCCCCCTAACCTCTCAGACTAGTGATAGCCCCGGATGAACCAACCCCAGTTTCTTGCTTGAAGGGGCGATCGGGTACTTAGTGGTTAGTAAGTCTGGTTATAACCCACTGAACGGAGACTTATAACAATCGTAAGCCAAAACAACGGAGAAAACCCAGGGCCAACTTCCAGCTCTCGACGCGTCCAGGAAGGAGTCTAGTCTTGAGAGTTTCCAGCGAATCCTCCGGTTCAACTGAGTTTGTGTAGATCTTTTCAGTCGGTTTAGTGGCTGGGTTTCCGAAAAATTCACCCAAAAGAAAGCGGCCCACTTTTTTGCAGGGCAGCTGAACACGGACAGCCCGGTGGTGCAGCTAGCTTATTGATTTTGCGAAGCGTTGCATCGTGCAAGTTGGCAACTTAGTGCATATGTTGCAGTGGCATGAATCTAAAGTTTGCAGCGGCACTCGTTTTGAGAAGTCACGCACCTTTCCCTGTTGCTGTTTGGCAAAGTACAGCTACTATGGACTAATATTCAAGTTGGCAAACTGTTTTGAGCGCGCAAGACTGATTGTTTTCACATGCAAATCCTTGAACCGTTGAAGCGGGCCAGCTACTTTAAGGGCTTAACTTCCCAAACCCCATCGCACAACTCACGTCCAACGAGTTCCTGCACTTCCGTTTTTGTTGTTTTTTCCCCGGGTTTGGTTGCCATTTTAGTGGTAAACAGCACATGTTGTTACCTTTTGTTGGCCCATCCGCTCGTTCGGAGACCCGCGCCCCGCGCCCCGCGCCGGTGGGCTTCTGGGGGAGCCGTGGTTCGCGAGGTCGCTGGACACACGTCTGGCTCGGCTTCTTCTCTTTGGGGAGTCCCAGACTGGGGCGTCAGTGAAGGAGAGGTCTCCGGCGTCGCTCCCGGCGCTGTTCCAACACATGTGTTTTCCGTGTGCAAAACTGGCATAGGGTACGGGGTGGCCGAGTTGCCAAACATGTCACGAAAGAGTTGTGAATCAACATGGCCACGGATTTTAAGAGTTGGAACTACATCAAAAGTTATCGGAGTCCTTTTTAGGTTAGTTTGATTTAAAATAGAAGGGTCTGTTTTAGGTTGGGTTTCTTCCATTTGCCAGGGCCATCAATTTTTCCAAAAGGCCACCTGTGATCAAAAGTGATTGGTAAATATGATTCCCCATCTAAATGATGTCCACCAAAGGGTCCCTTACTAAAATTGTTTCCCATATAATCTTCCGTGTGCTTAAGAACATGTTTTTTTGTTGACCCCATATTCCCATATTAATCAACCCCTGTTTATGAAAGGGAGCACCCCTAAACACGGGTTGATCAATGATGGGTCAACACTAGCATGTTGTTTCCCCTGGTGGTTTTGACGGGGATCTATGACTAGAAGTTGTTTTCTTACTTTTTCCAGAGGGCTCAAGCAACTTGAGGTCATGAAGGTAGAACTAAGAAAGATACTTCCTGGGCTGAGACACTTCCTGACTTACTTCAAGATCAACGCGGCAAGATGTTTGGATCTGCTTTGGTGGGTTTACTCGAGGTGCGGTGAGGATGTTTCCCACAGGGATTTGCCTCCTTTGCCGGAGGCCTGGTGGCTGGTGAATCCTCCAAACCTCCGAGATGCCTCAACCATCCCGCATGGTTTGTTGAGGCTTTTTAATGCATCTCACGCACAACTAAGCCAGCAATAGCCTTCGGTGGGGTTCCCAACGACCTCACAGAACACTTGGCTCCATGAGAGGCCTGGTGCAACGGTCCAGTAGTCTGTGGTGAATCGGAGGTTCGAGACGAGGGGGGCTCACGCTCTTTTTTGTTTGTGACCACGCGGATAGCCTCCCTCTCCAAACTCGCGAGGAACTCAGCTTTTTTGGGTTGATACTGAGAGAATCCAAAAGGCTAAGCCCACTTCCCACTTTTTGTTTTTTCTCTCTCTCTCTCGCTCTCTCTTCTCTGCATTTGGCTTTTAGAAAACCCCTATTTCTGAGAGCCGATTTCTTTTCTTAGACAAAAAGGATCCCTTTTAACTTCGGCGCAAATCCCCCTACACTTGTTTCATGTCCCAAAGGGTCCCTGAAGTACCTCGGCCCCTAACACCCCCAAACTCCATTCTCAAACCGCCTGGGCTTGCTTGTTTCAACCAGCCCCTTCATTTTGCTTCTCTTGGCGAAACCAAACACGCCGTTTCGCTTTGTCATCGTATTTTGCCCCAACAGCTGAAAGCTATGTGGTCTCAGCTAGGGGGGTCCAGAGCTGTTGGGGATACCACCTGTTGACTTATATGGGTGTGTCTTTTAGGGGACCCCCTATATAAATGACTTTTCCTTTGACTTTCCTCTAGAACTACCAAAAACCAAGCACCGTGAGCACCCTCAAACAAGTCCAGGACCCCTCAAAGGCTGTCAAATGGCTGGTCTGACTGGCTTTCTTGTTGGTTTGGCCTTTAAAACTGCAAAACAAATCAACTAAAGAACTCATATCTTTACTTTGGGTTTTTTCTCCTCTTGGCTTCTGTTTTGGTTTTCTTTTTTCTCGGTGGTGTTCCTTTAAACCTACCAAAAAAAGCACGACGAAAACGGGAGTTTGTCGAGCTAGGAGCAGACGCTGCTGGAGCGGTCGCTGCAGGCCTTTGGCGAGGCGGCGGTGTACTTCGGAGGGCCTCAGGGGCTGAACCAACCAGGCGATCGGAACCCAAAAACACGCCGCGGAGCGAGCCGTTCGTGTCGAGAAAAAGGGACACCCCTCGCGTCGAGAGAAAAAAAGGGCACCCCAGAACTCTGTTTGTTTCTAAAGCGAATCGATGTCACTACTGGAGACGCAACCGAAACCTTCTGTTTGCTGAAATGAATATGTTGGCTATTTCCTCGTCGATTTTAAAGGGAAGCGATTTCACGACTGGAAATATGGTCTAATCTCTCGAGGACTTAAGCAAATGGATGGTGAGCCGTTCGTGTTGAGAAGGGCGGGTCCCCGGATCTACTCGCTCCCGAACGAGTTCCGTTTCGGACGCTAGTCACTTTTTGCAAGAGCTATCAAGTTTGGCAGGTTTTTGTTGGCCCGTCCAGGAAGTGAGTCTAGAACCCATCCTAAGTAGCGCAGTGTCACCAAAGTGAGAAGAGGTCCCCGCTAAAATGGGAGATCCCACAAAAGGGTGTATTTCGCTGTCAGGATGGCCGGAGGAAATTCTATATGCTCAAATGGAAGACCCCGATACCTCCCAGATTCATCCAGAAGATAATTAAGTGGACCGTTACAGACTGATTTGAACGCATGTCCCGGTTTGGACACATCTTTTGGCTTTGAACGTTGATGCATTTGATGATTATTATCATTGACTCATTCACACCTACCATTTTAACTTTTGGTTTGCCCCTTTGACCTCCTGAAAATGGCGGAGAGTTGTGCCACTTGATCGGAACCCAAGATCAATGACTCACTCCCTGAGTTCCTGATCTTTAAGCTTTGTGTGAAGATTATTCTCAGAGTAGAGTTGCCCAGCGTGGCCCTTGTCTCCTTTTTTTGGGGGAAGGGTTCCCTTTTTTCGATTTTTTGTTTTCTCCCATGGCCGCTGAGTATCTGAGTGTTTTGTGGCAATTAACGGTTTGGACCCATTTTAGACACTCAGACGCGAGATGAGCCTGGTTGGTTTGGTTGCTCGTGTCCAACTTGCGTGCGGATGACGAATTTGTTATGGACACACACACACAAACACACACACAAACACGCACACAAACACACACACAAACACACACACACAAACACACACAAACACACACAAACACACACACAAACACACACACACACAAACACACACACACACAAACACACACACAAACACACACACACAAACACACACACAAACACACACACACACAAACACACACAGACACACACATACACACACACACACAGACACACACAGACACACACAGACACACACAGACACACACAGACACACACAGACACACACAGACACACACAGACACACACAGACACACACAGACACACACAGACACACACAGACACACACAGACACACACAGACACACACAGACACACACAGACACACACAGACACACACAGACACACACAGACACACACAGACACACACAGACACACACAGACACACACAGAAACACACAGACACACACAGACACACACAGACACACACAGACACACACAGACACACACAGACACACACAGACACACACAGACACACACAGACACACACAGACACACACAGACACACACAGACACACACAGACACACACAGACACACACAGACACACAGACACACACAGACACACACAGACACACACAGACACACACAGACACACACAGACACACACAGACACACACAGACACACACAGACACACACAGACACACACAGACACACACAGACACACACAGACACACACAGACACACACAGACACACACAGACACACAGACACACACAGACACACACAGACACACACAGACACACACAGACACACACAGACACACACAGACACACACAGACACACACACACACACACACAGACACACACAGACACACACAGACACACACAGACACACACAGACACACACAGACACACACAGACACACACAGACACACACAGACACACACAGACACACACAGACACACACAGACACACAGACACACACAGACACACACAGACACACACAGACACACACAGACACACACAGACACACACAGACACACACAGACACACACAGACACACACAGACACACACAGACACACACAGACACACACAGACACACACAGACACACACAGACACACACAGACACACACAGACACACACAGACACACACAGACACACACAGACACACAGACACACACAGACACACACAGACACACACAGACACACACAGACACACACAGACACACACAGACACACACAGACACACACAGACACACACAGACACACACAGACACACACAGACACACACAGACACACACAGACACACACAGACACACACAGACACACACAGACACACACAGACACACACAGACACACACAGACACACACAGACACACACAGACACACACAGACACACACAGACACACACAGACACACACAGACACACACAGACACACACAGACACACACAGACACACACAGACACACACAGACACACACAGACACACACAGACACACACAGACACACACACACACACACCATTTATCGACCTCAAGTTGCACTCGTCTCCGCGCGAAAACTAGCGATTCACCGCATGGACCTGGAGGTTGCTTGGGGTTGTGTTCGATTTCCGGCTGGTGACTGGTCGAATTTGCAACTGGCTCGTGCTGGAGTCATGAGCCAATTTCTGCGTGCCACCATTCACAAACCATGGAGACTAAGTGCCACCATACTCCTAGACTGGACCTTTGATACTGGAGTATGGGTGGGCACTCAGAACTCCAGTACCCAAAGCAGGTCCAAGATTGAACCACCAATTCCGGGTGAATTATAAGGACCTCACAGGACCGAATTCACCCCAAATGGTGGTTTATGTGGGGGATATTCCCCCAACCACCCGCAAGTTTCAGGTCAACAAATTCACCCCAAATGGTGGTTTATGTGGATATTCCCCCAACCGCAAGTTTCAGGTGGGTGAAACCAACGGATTGCAGTTGGCTCACTCGGACGTCCTGACTGAACAACTCGATCCTTACCCAGCGGCTCGAAGCGTGGAATCCGAATCCGAATCCGAGGCGTGCTGGTGCACGGGTTTTCGGACATCGAGGGCGCGGAGGACATCCGCTGCGAAAATGGTCCGGTTTTTTTTTGCCACCTGGAGTCTCCTTCTGACCCTGAAAAAATGGTTGGTCACTACGCAAAACCAAAGTGTCATGGGCCCAGTTTTGAAGGGTCATGGAGACTCCAGTTGGATGTTCGTGGCCCTAAGGCTCCAATTCAATGAAGGGCCCCTGAGGAATGGGTCCGGTTTCGTCCTTGGAGGGCCGGGGCCCTGTATTGGAGGGGTTATAAGCCTTATGCGTTAGCCGCACTTGCCTCAACAGTGGATTATAACCTAGCTTCCAACAACTTGCCAACTCGACCGAACTTGGAGACCAGCGATATTGATCCGAGTCGCAATCAGCGAGAAGGTACAAGTCGACCCAAATCCGTGGAGATCAACGCCCACTGAGACTCTGCCTGGAGGTTTGGACATTTCTATCTCGGGGCTTCACCCACTGCGTGGCCACGCAGGTAGAGCCACTTCTTTTGACGCGCCCGGAGTGGAGACCTGAGTTCCTACCTATTTCTCTCATGCAGGTGTGTTTTTTTGGGGATCCCAAAACGGATTTCGGTCGTCCTTGTTGGTTTCCCTTGACACAAACAAGGGGCACCAACTCCGCAAAAGAGCACACAAACAAGGGTCAAGGAAAGCTGGATCTGGTTTATCATTGTTTGGAGTTCCAGCAAGGCGCCATTGGCAGGCTGGTTTCTGGTCATGTCCTTTTCTTGCTTGGGCGATAGGTATGACCGAGACCGGGTGTTGGGGATGAACTGGCAGGGGATTCCCTAATCATAAGGGAGTTTATGGGGGTCATTCCATTTTTCATTCCCTGCTGAGAACCAGCAAGTTGTTTGGGCTGGCTTCATGAAGAATGCACAGCCGCGCCCGAAAGCAGTTTTTTTTTGTCATTTTAGTAGGGGCTTCTACTCTGGCTTGGCATGGATTATTGTGATCTCACCTTGTGGCGAAACGACTAGAATTGGGGGTCCAATTCTTATTTCAGCTTTCTGACATATTTGAAACCAGAGTGCAGATCTATCACGATCTCTTTTTTTGATACCCGGTCGGGTCGAAGACACACTAGTCCAACTACGCGCTGCTCTGAAAATTCCATGGTCTCACTCCTTGAGTTCCTGGACTTTCAGCTCGGGGAGACCGTTTTAGTGGTGAATTAATTAGCCATTCGGACTTTGGCCTTCTGGGCCAATCCAGGAAGTGAGTGGTAGACATCTTCATCTAGGGTTAACATGAGAGCATGATACCCTAGGAGCAGGAGGTCCCACTGCTGACGGGCGGTGAGACTCTTGCCAGCTAGGAGATCGCTCCAGGGACGCGCATCTATCGCGGAGGAGAACATGCGTCCGGCAGAGATGGGAGGTCCTTTGAAGGTGACCGCTTTTGGGAGTAAATGCTTCCATTGCAAATAATATGTTCAGTTTTTGGGAGTAACTTCCATTGCTGAAAATCCAATGTTCAGTTTTCCCCTGGTTTTGCGGGGAATCGATCGCTACTGATGTTTGTCTCAGGTTTTTTGTTTCCAGGGGGCTGGCTTAAGCAATGGAGGAAGGAAGGAATTTCTGGCTGGCGAGTTCAAGTTTGTGTCGATTCGTTCTCTCTTCCCATAAAGTCCAACCCTTTGAGCATGGTGTGGTTAAGAGTCAAGGCAACTGCTGGAAAAACAAGAAAAAGAAAACACCAAGCGGGTTTTCCTTGGTCAATGACAACATCCGCTCCAACAGCGAGAAGACCACTTCTCGATTCCACCGAGAGCAACCGACCTATGGGCGAGATGCCAACTCGGGGACGGCTTTATATTATACCCTCTTCAAGTCGGACGTCAGTCCACGGGTTACTCGGTTGTTCAGTGGCACCAAATATTTTCCAACTTTTTTTTGGGTGGCTGCCCCACTAAAATGGTCTTCCCAAAAAAGGGTTCCCTTTGTTTTCCAGGGTCACTGAACAACTGAGGTTAGGAGATCTTGGATTCGTTGCACGTCTCTTTTCCAGAAAAGCTTGCGTGCACAGAGGTCCAGATAGAGGCAACTCGGAGTATGTCTTTTGGGGCTAGCCGTTTCTTTGTTGGTTCAAAGTGAAACCATGGGGAAACCGTATCTAGTTTGACACCTACCCATAGGGAAACCTTCCGGTTGGAAGTAACCCCCCCCATTTGGACACAAACCTAAGCATCTGACACATGTCGCCCAGGAGTGGAGGCAGCAATCGAGGGCATCATTGATGGCAGGCCTGGAGATATCCTGTTCCGGCGTGAGGTCCACTATCCACTTGGGGTCTCCAAACCGATTTTGTATTCTAGGCTACCCAGTGACTCTATTTTCCTAGAAGTATTGGTAACCAAGGGAACCTTTGCAAAATAAAAGAAAAACAGAAATAAGACTTGCCCGAGTTGGAAAGCTTAGAACTTTGGCATGTCCATCATTCGGCCCAAGAAGTTTCTTCACTTGCAGTCAGCTCGGGTCAGAAGAAGACAGGCCAAGTCTCGATGCGCGGCATGTGCAGCTATGTTTTTTTTTTTTTTTTTCCCCGGGGGGGGGGTGGATGCTATACCAATATGGCCGTGGTGGTCAAAACCGTTTTGGATGCCCCATTTTGGTTGGGATTGGTGAATTCGCCGCCCATTCTTCGAACCTTTTTTAGTGGTTGGATTGGGATGTTCACTGAGGGTACGATTTGGTTTTGGACCCATGGCCATATAAGCAAATGCAACTAGGCGATGGTAGCGCGATGCTACTCGAAGTATATAACACCTGGCCGGGCCACTAAAGTTGGGGCGGTTCAGATTCTTCCAGGTATCACCGGTACTTCTCACGCCGTGCCGTGGAGACCACAACAAGTCTAGCTAAGCAAATGCAACGCAGTAACCTCTGTGGTATACAATCCATGGAGATCCATGGAGATCTATCGGCAGACCGGCTCTTCGGAGCACTCTTTTGCTTTCCAAAGCCTCAGCCCGATTGGTCGAGGTCGATTTGTGGCCTGAGCCCCTTGAATTGGGCTTTCCAGTGCGACTAGGTCCCCGAGCGATTGGTGCCCTTTTTCACCCCGTTTTTTTGGGGGAGCGTTCTCTTACTAAAATAGACTACAGACTAAAAAACCGGGTAGCCTTATTCTAACCTCTCAAATCTGGAGGACCTAGGCAATGCACGTGGGATGTTTTGTGTTTTTTTTTGGAGTGTAGGTACACTTTCTGGGGTTGTATCGATGGAAATGCGACAGAGAGGTACCTAGATTTGTGCATTATGGTTTTTGTGGCTGGAAGACCTGAACACAAATCCCGTGAACAATGTTCACCAACAACCCCCCACCAAATGTTTCAGTGACCTTCTGCGGGCTGTAATGGCTGGCCATTTTTTCCAGCCATGGGGTGCTGGAAGCGGGTTCCAACTACAAGTCACACTCCTCATAAGTTCCCCGAGGTTTCATCTTGTTTCCAGGGGTTACCCCCAGTGGCCAACCACTACGAGGTCCTCCAGATTTGAGAGGTGAGAATAAGGCTACCCTATTTTTTCCTGTTTCGTCTATTTTAGTATGGGAACCCTCCCCCAAAAAAGGGGTGAAAAAGGGCACCAATCGCTGGGGGACCTAGACTTCCCTGGTCGGACATCCCAAGTACCCAGTTCTTTCTGACGTCAGATACGCTCCGCTGGACTTCCGGTGGTTCATTGGCCGCCACGAGCAACTTGGCAGCCTTTGGGCCTTTGGGGCCTTTGCGGGCTTGCATGAGCAAAGTGGGGCATTTTGTTTGTTTTTGTGTGTGTGTGTGTCTAGGTTCCCCAGCTGGGGCTCCCTGAGTTCTAGGTCTCCCTGAGTGCCTGGGCTTTAAGCTTTTTGGGGAGACCATTGTAGTGGTAAACTAGGTCCCCCAGCGATTGGTGCCCTTTCTCACTGTTTATTTTTGGGTTGGGAGAGTTCCCCTACTATACTAGACTACAGAAAACAGTTGCTGCCCTTATTCTGACCTCTCTACTGGAGGACCTAGGCGTGTTCTAGGTACCTTGCCGATTCCTTCCAGGGATCCTTCTAGCAAACCTCCAAGAACGATAGTTGAAAGAATCGGGAATCAACCTCTAGATGGGTATGTGTCAATGTGTGTGTGTGTGCTTTGTGGAGAGTGTGTTGTGTGTGTGTGTTTTGTGGTCGGTGTGCGTGTTGGTTTGTTGATGGTGTGTGGGTGTGGGTGTGGGTATGTCTTCTTGTCTGTGTTTGTGTCTGTGTTTGCCTTTCTGGGTTCCATCAAAGCCCTGAAGTCTCCATGAGCGCTTGCTCAGAGGGTGGATACTTCAGTTTGCAGATAGTATGGCTGGTCTTTGTGACCAATTCGCTACCTTTTGGAAGCTGGCTTTCCATTCAACCTACAAAAGGCTCGCTCCCTGAGTGTTTGGATCATTTTGGTGGTGAACAAGAAGGTTAGTTACTTTTGGCCGATACAGCAAGTGAGTGGTAGATAATCTTCATCTCTAGGGGTGAACACGATACCCTAAACCAGAGTGGGAGTTTGTTTGGAGTAGGAGGTACCCTCCCACCCTTTTCATATGGAACCTGACGTTCGGGGGGTCCTGGAAGTTCATACTCCATTAAAGAGACCCCCGTATGGCTACATGTGAATTGGTGGAGGGTACTCAAAGGGGCATTGTACTTAGTAAACATAAAATTCAATATTCTATGAAAAGACGGCTCACGTGCTAGTCGCGACTTGAGGAAATGATGACATAATACTACAAGATAATAAATGCCTTTCTTCAGCAGACATTCCAATCATACAATTGACAATAATTATTTGACTACTCTTGATGATTGGGTAGTAACCATGGTTCGAACCCACTAGGGTTATAAGTCTCCATTCAGGGCTTACTAGCCACTTTCCTGACGCACCCGATCGCCCCTTTAAGTAGTCACTGGGTTGTCATTCCGTCAAACCATCGAAGCCCCTGGAACCTGTTTCCAGCAGCCTGGAACTTGTAGCCTGAGTTCTCCATGATAAAAACAATGTTGGTCATCACCCAACATATAGAAAAAAGGTCATGGCTCCATGTTTCAAGGGTCAGAAGGGCCACTCCAGGTGCTCGTTTTTTCCACGCGGGGGCTTACTAACTCAAGCCAAATAAGCCCGTACCAAGCCCTGAATCCCTTCCCAGTCGCCCAGTGTGGCCTTTTTTTTCATTTTTTTTTGGGGGGAAGGGTTCCCCTTCCACGTGAACCAACCCAAAGAAGGGATGACTTTTTTTCCCCATGAAAATCCACTGTGCTGGGCATCTTGCGTAGCCCTGAAGCCCGCCGCGGCCGCCAGCGCCAGGAATCTTACGACGCAACGCGCAGCGTGGATCCCGGTGGCCTGTGCTCGCCCAGTTGCGCTGAAACAATGCCTCGGCCTGCCCAAACCCCTCTGGCACGAGGCAAGCGAAAACGGACGCGCGATGTGCTTGCGCGGAGGGAGTTGCGCGAGTTGCAAGGCTTGGTACCACTTTAAAGGGGTGGCTGAAACCTGTTGTTGGTTAGGATGTTTTAGGAGGTTGTTTAGGATTTGTTGGATTTGGTGGCTTTGGGTTTAGGGGTTCGAGAGGTTGATTCCTCATTCTCTTCACCCCATGGTTTCTCTTTTGAAAAACTACCCCGTGTTTTCCCTGGGATTGGCCAATTTGTTTTTGGAAGAGGCGGATCCCGGAAGGTACAGTTAGAGGGGTGGCTTCACTGTTGTTGGATCAAATCTTTTGTAGGATGTTGTTGTTTTTCCTGTTCTGTTCATTTTTAGTAGGCTGCGAGAACGCGTCAGTTTTTCGCAAGTACAAGGAATAAAGACAAAGAACAACCATTCACCTGAACCAAAACATGCCAAAAGAAGGCCGTGCCTAGGCACAATGGGAACAACATCCACCCCAGGCGCATGGTACTTTATCCAACTCGTTCATCCGAAGTGAGGTTGCATTCATCCTTGTGAAATGGACTTTGTCCAACAGTAGGCATGCTTGACAGTCTGGCACTGGAATTCAGCAGAAGGTGTTATTGTGTTGCCTATATGTCTCGTTTTTTGTGGTTTGATCCATCACCTCACTGCCAGTATCCTTTCGTTGCTTGGCGGTGTTTAGGAAATCCCCGCTGCTGACATAAACAATATCCTTGTCTTCAATCTGCTGGATGATTCTTGTTCCATTATGTTCCTTCGAAGGGGAAAAAACCACGTGCAGTGGGGTACGTCCACATCTTTACCTTTCTATGACCCTAGAGACCGACTGCATTGCTTCCATTTGCTCAGGAATGCGTCTGATGTGCTCCCCTGTTTGCTTTTTGTTTTTTCTCTGGGAATCTATCCTTCCCGGCAATATGTTTGCTTTTTCCCAGGGGTACCTGAGCAAATGCAAGTAAATTACCCACTTGTGTAACAGGGTGTTCTCTCCTATGCTTCAGTTGAACCCAGGAATATTAGGTGTACATACCTGCATCTTCCAATGTGTGTATTTTTCATGCCTTTTCGTGAAAAGCTGCTTTTTCAGACAAATTAACAACACTTTTTTGTGTCTCCAGGCACTTTTCACTTTGTTGCTCTTCTTGGACAAACCCATGAAGGCGAACCGGCGACAATACCCGACCAAACGGCGACTTTCCCCGACCATGTTTTCAGCCAAATTTGAAACGACACGTTTGCAGTGAAAAAGCGTATTTGCGACCAAAGGACGGACATTTGTGCTTTTTCAGCAAACGGCGGGAAAATGCACACCTGAAGATTCTGGTGTATATATATATATATACATCCTCCGAGGCGAAAGGGATGCTGCCCCATCGAAGCATTTGCTTTTTTTGGCTTATCGATTGACGCGCAGGTCCTTGAGCTTTGTGGGGGTGAGCACGCAGAGCTCAGCAAGGCACGGGGCGGAAGCGTTGATCTGGGCAAAGTGAAGGTTAGTTTAGGTCGGCGAACTATCAAAACTCACCCATGTCATGCTCGGGATGGAAGGTTCGAAGGGTTTGGTTGCAGGAAAATCTACAGGAAATTGCCCCAAAACACCCTAAATAAGCTGTTTTGTTTGTAGAATTTCCTGTAACCCAACCCTTTGAAAGGTGTTTTTCGGCCGAAAATGCGCAAACAGGCGTACCAGCATCCCCTGTCATGAAAGGTATGGGTGTCAACTGTTTTGGATGTACTTGGCACCAGACTTTCACGATCAACATGGACATGTCTTTATGTTGATTCGTCGCTGGGCATTTTCACTAAATGTGCGCTTTTGGATTCATCCAGCGGACGATACCAACCCCAAACGATCCACACAAACATACATCATACGCACATATATTTGACAAGCCACCCAGTTGGGTACATACTGAGTAGTGACTGGACTGGCACACTTGCCGGCAGAGTTACAAACTCCGAGCTATGATTGGAAGAGGGATCTCTTTTTCGTGAACCACATTTGGGGTTCCATGTAACTTTGCCGGGGAGCCTGTTGAAGGGTTCTCAAGCTGACAGTGGCACCGCTGCACTCAAAGAGTTGGACCTACAATAGGTTTTTGGTGGGTCGCACTTGTGGCTGCTTCTTGATTGCTATTGGGTTGGATCTTTTAACATTTTTGTTGAAATCAAGGATTTTCCAGCAGAGGGGTCAACAGCAACCAAACCAGCCACCGGGGGTCTCTTTAGCGCAGAAAGTTGGGGAGTCCGGGTTTGTGTTCGACTTAGGACTTCCTTTCGTATTGCCAATTCTACATTTAGTAAGGCTTAAACCTTAGAGCTGGGAAGGGCTTAGGACAAACCACCCAACAGCAAAAGGCTAAGGCTCTGATTTGGAAGTTTCACTGACCCCAAAAAAAAACTGAACATTAAAACGAACCTGAAAACAGTCACATTAAACAGAACTGGGGCTTGTGGGTAACCCCCTTTTTTGTGACTGTTTGCGCTAAAGAAGTTATCTGAAATGGGTCTGGGTCAAAATTAAACCACCAGGGGACCGCAGGTTTTAGTCCATGTTTCCATTTACTAGGGCAAGCCACTTTGGGGTTACTCTATTTTTGACCCACGGCCAAATGATATGGTTTGGGGACCATTTGCAACCTTGATTCTAGGCCTTTACGCCTTTGAGCTGGGGAAGAGCTTAGGATGAACCATCCAAATGCAAAAGGCTGAGGCTCTGATTTGGGAGTTCCCCCAACCCCCCAAAGCCACTGGACACTGAAGCCAACCACGAAACAGTCAGACCAAACAGAATCAGGGCCTCATGTCGGCAAGCCCCTTTCTGCGACTGTTTGGCCTACATTTTGATAAAGACGTTGTCTTAAATTTGATGTTTTGGGGACCACTCAAAAGGATTTCGTCATGTTTGCCCGGATTTGTTTGCCCGATGTTTGTTTCCCGATTTGTTTGCCCGATGTTTGTTGCCCAATTTATTGTCCGACTAAAAGACCTGCTATTCAAACAACCCTTCAAACAGTCACAGAGTTCTGATTTCGCTTTTTCTTCTTCTTTTCTTATTGGTTGCAATAGGGACTCCAGGTCTTTAAGCGGCCCCCCCACATCACCCTCTGAGGAAGGCCTCAGGTTCTCGACTCAACATGGGCCCAACTTCCCTCACATTCTAGGGCTCGATTCCAATTCCATTCTCTTCAACCATCGCTTCACGGTTCTTGGCTCATGTTCTTTTTAGCTTGTTAGTTGCTTGGGTTCTGTTCATTTCTACTGGGGGTCTGCCAAAATCAGGTTCAGTTTTTAGCTACCGCCCATACCAAGAGTAGAGATGGATCCTTCTTCTCAAGATCCGGATCCGTTTCCTTGGGCTTCAGAATCGGATTTAAGAGTCGGATCGGGTTCGGAATGGAATTGGCAGGTGTGGAAAGAGGGCGGCTGGGCTTTTTTGGGCCCCAGCTAGGTGCCCCCAGCTAGGTCCCCCCAGCTAGGTGCCAGAAGGTAGCCCTTACACCGGAGCCTCTAAGCTACTAGGCTCATGTGAACTTTCTCCGCCAGGTGGAGCTGCAAAAGCGCGGAGACGTGAAGGAGAGACGCGCAGACCTCCATGGGGGGCTTTCGCCCGGTTGGGGGGGGAACTAACTCGAGGTTTCCCAGCTATTCCGCTAAGATAGACTAAAGAAAAAAAGGGTGCCCTCAATCCCTTCTCCCTAGTGCTAAACGCCCCCCCCTTCCTAATACTGAGCGGGGCCCCCAGAGAAAAAAAAAAAAAACTTACCATTAGGGGTCCCCCTGTTCCCGGAGCTCCGGCTCGAAAGTCGCAACTTTGTAGTACAGCCGTAGTAAGATGTAGTAAGGGAAACGTACTCCCGGAGCTCCGGCTCGAAAGTCGCAACTTTGTAGTGCAGCCGTAGTAAAGAAAACGCTCCGTCTCAAGTCGCAACTTTGTATTACATCCGTAGTAAGATGTAGTAAAGGAAACGTACTCCCGGAGCTCCGGCTCGAAAGTCGCAATTTTGTAGTACAGCCGTAGTAAAGAAAACGCTCCGGCTCAAGTCGCAACTTTGTAGTACAGCCGTAGTAAGATGTAGTAAAGGAAACGTACTCCCGGAGCTCCGGCTCGAAAGTCGCAACTTTGTAGTACAGCCGTAGTAAAGAAAACATACTCCCGGAGCTCCGGCTCAAGTCGCAACTTTGTAGTACAGCTGTAGTACGGGAAACGTATTCTCGGAGCTCCGGCTCGAAAGTCGCAACTTTCCTGAATCTTTGTTTGCGCACTTTTTTCTGCTCAAATGCTTGTTTGCGCATTTTGTGGTGTCTTTGCGCGCTTTTTGGGAATTTGCGCACTTTTGAGGGATTTGCGCACTTTTCGGATGAAACTCCTCTGGTAGCCAATCGGTACTACTTGTGGAAACAATCGACACTGCGCTGCTCGTGCCCGTGCCGGCGCAGCCGTTTGTTGAAGTCCTTGATGTTTACAGCATATCTAGCTTTTCTTTTGTCTCCAACCAAGCCTGTTTTAGGCAGGACATTTGTGGCACACATGGCACCCGGCACAAGTACCAGCTATCACTTTAAGTTTGCACTTGACACTTTGTGGCCATTGACTTAGCAACCCGCTTGGCTCCGTCAATAGCTCCAAGCTCGCAAGTATTGCCTGGGTTTGCACGGATCCGCTGTTTGCTCCAAAACTGTGCTTTGCGCCACACTTGTTGTTGAGACAACTCGCGTATAGGTGAAATTAGTCGATTTTCGGCGCCTTGCCAGCCCGCAATTTGCGCGCAAAAATCCGGTACTATCGCGCAAATATCCACAATTGTGCGCAAATACGAAAAGTGTGCGCATGCATGCGCGCGTTTTCGACCTTTTAATTAGGCAGAAGATGTCTAAAGCGCCCGAATTGCCAACTAAAAGATCGGGTTTGAGCCACATGTGGTCGTCAGTTGAAGCTGCACCACTTGGAAGAGCCGTTCGGATCTCTTGCAATCTAGAGAGCTCAAGGATCTGAAACTTGTTTCCCTTGACTGTCAAGCTGGCTTGGCAATGTTGAAGGCTATTCTCGACAACGCTCCGCAGGTCAATAGCCAAAATGCCCTTTGGTTCCTTGGATCATCTAGGTGAATTCTGGCCGAAAAGGCGCATGTATCCTTGCCTAGTAATTTCTGAGCAGCTTGACAGGTGCATGTCCACGCTATACACACCCCGCACCTTTGCCCAAACCAGCAAAAAACGCCTCGCGCAGTTCTTGGAACTTTGCACGTTTTTTGATTGAAACACGCACTTTGCCGTTGTGCGCACTTATTTTTTTGCTCAAATGAAGATGCAGGTTGTAGTACAGACGTAGAAAAGAAACGTGCTCCCGGAGCTCCGGCTCGAAAGTCGCAGCTTTGTAGTACAGCCATAGTAAAGAAAACGTACTCTCCGGCTCGAAAGTCGCAACTTTGTAGTACAGCCGTAGTAAAGAACATGTGCTCCCGGAGATCCGGCTCAAGTCGCAACTTTGTAGTACAGCCTCCCGGAGCTCCGGCTCGAAAGGCGTTTTAGCGTTGGCTATTCAAAAAGTTGGTTTCCCGGATCCGGGGTTCTCCAAAATTGGTTTTGGTATGTTTAGCAGTAGGAAGAAGGGAGTATTCTAACCTCTCTACTGGATGACCTAGTATGTGTAGGTGAACCGGCCATTCGCCTTTTCACAACCAAGTCTTGGTGAGACTTGCCCGATTTTGAAGAGTCCAGCCATGTGGCTTTGAATTGCAAATTGTTTGTCTGGTGAAGCGCAGAGGCAGCAGATCAGATGAAACATAGACGCCACCGCTGACAAGCCGACGAGAACTAAACAAACTCATTCACCACACAGAGAAACAAGCAAGCGACGTGTACACAGAGCATCATGCGCTGAGAGAGTTGGAGCAGACAGTGCGTATCTGGGATTGCATGTAGAGCTGAGACAGTCAGGCCTGCAATGCCTTCAAGAATGCCAAAAAAGAGCGGGAGTTCGAGCACTCAAGCAGGACAACCCGGGGGAGGTGTATAAGGAAAGAGCTTCCAAGATGGAAGCGCATGAGAAAATGTGCGAGAAGCAAAGGGCGGGAAGCGCTACAGACACCTTTCGACTGCAAGTGCATCTGTTGCCCGCATGGTCGGCCGGGACATACACAGTTGCATGTTCACGGTGATGGATCAGCTTTTGGCAAGACCGGAGCCTTTTGCACTTCTTCCTGAAGAATGTCGGGTTGCCGTGCATAGATGCGCTGTTGAGAGAGATGCAGCGTGCCGTGATTGCTGGCGTTGCTTCTCTACGGGGCGAGCAAATTCGTTCAGATGTTGCAAAGGGTGTCAATCTACTGCCGCTGGCTCGCCATTGGGTTCGGGGCGTTGCGGCGCCAGACCAGCCCAGTGGGCCGGCGCCGGGGAAAGCCAGGGAAATAACAGACGGCCAGGCGCTTGCAAGTCCACAGCTCGCCCAAACGTCCGGGGGCCCGGGGGCGTTAGCGCGTGTCTCCTACATCTCCGTTAGTGTTTGACTATTTGCCCACATCATTGCGTGGGGTTGTTACTTTCTCCGCTCGTCGTCTGGCCGCCGCTTCTCCCGCTCCTCCTTCCGCCCGTCTCTCTTCACTCACTCCACTCCGCTCCACTCCACTCCGCCCCGCTCCACTCCACCCACTTTACTCCACTTTACTCTCCTTTAGCTGACGTTATGATTAGTAGGCTAGCAGGGTGCTTCAGCTCTAGGCTTTCATATGATGGCTCTACTGCATAGAACACTTCCTGTGGCCTGTCTCCTAGTAGATGCCAACGATCCACAGTAATTAGCTTGCATCCTACCTTGCGCAGAATTTGTTTTGTTTGTCCGTTTTGTTTCGACCTTATTGTCCTACTTAACTTCGCCAAATTGGGCCAACAAAAACGGGAACCTTTTGGAGAGACTTCTTGCGAAGCTCAGCTCCGACGGTTTCTCAGCTAGAACACTGCCAGCACATTGGTGGGTGCGGAGAACCCAGATGCAACGTCGCTCTTGGGAGAGCTCTTGGCATGGGCGCGGTGTAGTTTCAGACCACGGCGTGAGCGGTCCGGACTATTTAGCGCAGCTTCTTTTTGACTTGATGTATTCACGGAGGATGCAGCTGTTGGGCCCTGGATCCGGTCAGCTGACCTCATTCTGCACCACCCTGACCTCCGGAGTTGCCTCAGACATGAGATTGCCCTGCGCAGCTAAGTGCCGTGAGCATCTATCTGTTCCCCAAAGTCGCCGCTTTGCATCCCAGTAGAGGCCCGGACAGCCTCAAAAACAAGCTTGCCCTGCACAGTTAAGACCGTGAGTGCCGCAGTTAAGACCATCAGTGCCTGTTCCCAAAAGTTCTGCCCTGTTCCCAAAAGTTCTGCCCTGAGAAGGATGGTCTGATCATGATGATGGTGCGGTTCGCACCCCCCAACAAGGAAATGTCGCCACTTGTTGCGAGTGGCTCCCGGACAGCCTCAATTTCTCAGTATCTGCACCAGCCGCGCTACAAAGAGCAAACAAGGAAACTGCGCCTTTTTCTTGCGTCCTCAGCGTCCGAACAGCCTCAAAAAATGAGCCTGCCCTGCATAGCACAACACCATTAGTTTCTGTTTCCAAAGTCGCCACTTTGCATCCCCGGCATTCCCAGCAGGCCCTGACGTGCCAGTCTAGAGAAGTGAGAAAGTTGAGGGTGAGTGTGCTGATGGTGCGTTTCGCATCCGCGTAGCAGGACCGCAGCCGCAAACTCGTTTCCTGCAGTGCACTTCCTGTGCGCTTCCCTAATTCACGAAAAGGCAAAAAAAACAGGTCAACCAACAAAAACCAACCTCGAGAAAACCAAATAAGCCAAAATTTGGGACTGGCGGAAACCACGGATTCTCCTCCAACATTTGATTTGTCCTGGTCTTCTCGAGTTCTTTAGGTTTTCCTTTGCCCCGTGTGTTTTTCTAGCGTACTATGAAATGAGTAATTTATTTTCAAAATGCGCTTGCATGCAGTAGGAAGCGCCAAGTTGAGCTTCCATGGTTTGGTTTTTGCATGTGACTCCGTTTGCCCAACATTTTTGTTTTACACTTCGCAAGGGCAGAGCACAAGACAGCACTGTAAACATGCATGTTGGCATGCCCGACTCCCCGACTTAGCTTGGAATGCCCCCAAGAACCAGGATCCGATCAGCTTTGCACCCCCGGCATAGACATCTGTGCATAACTCAGAAAAACCACAATGCCAGGCAGTCTGGCATTTGAAATGTGTACTGTCAATACACAAGAAATATGTGGAACAACTTCAAACAGCAAAAGGTAGATCAGGGGGGGCTGACGGGATTTTTATATATATATATATTTATTTATGTATACACATTGACACGCAGGCTTTGGACCCCTGTTTGCAGAGGATTGTTGGTTGGGGCATGTCCGGGGCAAACTGTTAGCACCTTTCACCTTCAAACAGCCTTACACACTCCCTGTGTTCCTTTACTTCAGTCAGTTTTTGGGCTTGGGCCATTCGCGTGGCAAATCAAATATACTGTCTTTTTGTCATGCCACTTGTTCGGACGTGAGCTAAGGGGTTGTGCAAAGGGGTACCGTGTTTGAGGTACCACATTTACTGGCTTCGGGAAGCCAAGGTTGAGAAGGTTAAGGGAATCGGTCACAGGTAAATCTGTCATTCCATCCCCACTTTTGAGTGCTTTGAGGATGGTTTGTTTGGGGACAAACTGGCGTCCTTACCCGCGGATTTTTAGGCATTGGGGTGTGCCTTTTTGGTTGAACCCCCCGTTTCTGGCTGGTTTCAAGCGGAAACCCAAAGGTATCCAGCCCTCATTCCCTGAGTTCATGGACGTTTTTTTTTTTTGAGTTTGGACCATTTTAGTGGAAAACATGTTTTTTTTTGCCACTCCACTTGTTCGGAAGTGAACCAACGATTTTTGGGGACCAACTCCTACTGCGGATGGACGAAATCCTGCACCACCTAAGAAGCCCTGGTTTCCGAAATACCAACACATACTGGTTGGAAAACTAGATACGATAGACTTACTGTGGACGAAGTTCATTCCGCACCGGCTAAGAAGCCTGCCAATACCAACAAATGTTCTTTGGTGCATGTTGCTTGGCTGTTAGGACTTTTTGCCAACTAATGGGGTTTCCACTAAACCACTAAAAGTTATTCACTTTTAGCAGGGGAGCAGATTTCGCAACCGAGTGTTCTGGTTTCACCCGTGTCAAAGTGCGAGCGGATTTCGTCCAGCCACAGCTCGTCGCAATGCAAACGCCAGGACGATGAGCCCGAGTAGTGCTGGAAAAGAGACGAGTGTGTCGCGTCCGCCGTCGCGGCCGTGGGGTTTGACCCCAAAAACTAGATTCACTTCGTCCATTTGCTTAAGACATGTTTTTTGTTTTTCCCCCGGAATTTGTCACTACTGGATTTTTGTTTTTTTCTCGGGGTCTTGACCAAATGGAAGACTTCGAACGTCTTCCAAAAGCCCGATCCATTTCAGAGACAACAGTTCTTGGGGATACTGATTTTTGGGCTTTAACTTGTAGGAGAGACTTGTTCCCCCCAAAGAATGGCCGACTAGAAGTGGCCGGTGTTGGTTGGGCTCTATGTTCAGAGTGGTAAGACACTTCTTGGCAAATTGTGATTTGTGCGACGTGAGTTACAGTTGGCCTCACCCAAAGATCATGGATTATTGTTAAGGGTGCCATCCCATGCCATCCCTTGACCAAGGGTCAAAAAATGTGATCTTCGGGTTAATCTGGAGCACCCTACTAGTCAGAGGAAGCCCCTATAATAGTTAATTTGCTGGCTAAAAGGGGAACCACCCTGATTTGGTTTAGAGTTATATTTTGCCTTCCCCATTCTCTTCAGGGAGATGTGTGTGTTTTTTTGTTCAATACATGGGCCAAACCTTTGGAAAAGGGGTGTTTTCGAAAGAGAACGATGAGTCAAACAAATGGCTCACTTGTCCAAAGCAAATCGAGCTTTTGACTTCATGGTTTTTGTTCTTGTTTGACCATTTTTTGGTTATGGCCGCAAAGGGTCATTCAAAAACAATAAAACAGAAAAGAAGGTCCGTAAGGGGCAACAGATGGGGAATCAACCGTTCAAACAAGTTGCAGGATGGGATCCTATTTTGGTATATATTTTCAACAGCCTTTCCCAACTCCTTTGTCAAGGGTTGCGGGATGCGGGGCTGGTACTACTTCGTGATACTCGAGTCAACCGCAACTCTTTTGGGTGAAACTGTCCGGAAGTGAAAGACCTTTTAGAAGCATCGCTGTCCCTTTTGGTTGTTTTGGTAGAAAAGACATGGCCCAGGTTGACCTTTCGACCATCTGTTTTCCCAAAAGGAATGCTTTGGAACTCTTTACCTAGAATCCTTCCTTCTTCCCCACGAATCTGGACCCTTACGGTTAAGTGGGTTCGTCCTTGTCTATTGGTGTCCATGCTGACGGTAAACAACTAGGTCCCCCAGCAATTGGTGCCGACTTTTACCGTTTCTTTTTTGGTTGGGAGGGTTCCCCTACTCAAATAGACTACAGAGAAAAGAGGTACCCTTATTCTAACCGACCTGGACAATCATGGACGTGGACATGGGGGCTTCCCCACGAGGAACATCGTCATTTTTGGGAGGGAGGGTAATGATCGGGACTTGCAAGTGCTGTCCCTGTTCAGCATTCCAAACATATGGTCCAGATCAAAGGAACAAGGGCCGAAGGGCATGTGGGGTACTTATCATTTAAAACAATGGTTGGGTTTATAGAACCACCATTGTTTACGATTGTCATCATCTGAATTGGCTCAACCATTTGTGAAATGGGGGTTGAACCCTAGGGCAATCCCAAGTTGCATAACTCACGTCCTGATGGGAAGACAATTTTAGTGGAACATATAAAGTTGATACGTTTTTTGGGCCATCCACTCAGCAAGTGAGATAAAGAGCTCCATGAGCATCGCATGCCAGATGCTCTCCGGACCGGCTTTGCGGGCGCTTCTGGCAAAACCCCCCGCCGGGGCAAAGAGCGGAGACCGGGCAGCGCCGTGAGGCGCCATACGGATGGGACCCGTTTACCGGCGGGATTCGGGGAGCAAATGAGCAGGGCCCCCCCACAGTTTCTAGTCCCCCAGTAGTCCCCTTTTACCCTTTTTCGGGGGAGGGTTCCCCTGCTAAAGTAGACTGCAGAAAAAGTGGTACCCTTATTCTAACCTCTCAAATCTGGAGGACCTAGGTTTAACATCGCTAAGGCTCTCGATGATTCTTGGGCCCTTAAAATGGGTTGTTTTCGGCCCGGGTTCTTCATCCTGCAGAGGGGTCATGAGCCTTAGGGATGGAGCCAAAAGGCACCATTTCTAGAGGAAGCTCGTTTCTGGATGACCCTCGTTTTGGGTTCCCTGTGAACTTGCAGCGAGAAAAGGGGTTCCGACCGCTCGCATCAAAAGACAATCATGTGCAGCCTACCAATTTGTTAGAACAGACCCCTTTCCAGACAAAACTCACAGAAAACTGCAGTTTGTTTGAAAAGAGGAATACATCCTGGCCGCCTCTGGCTGCCGCTTGACCACCTGCATGGACTCGGCTTACTGGGTTACCCAATTCATGATCAAAGGTTTGGGGCGGCTAGAAAGGACAGCCCCGATTCCCATAGGGAAAGCGGAGTCAACGACCACAACTTTGTTGGTGGTAGAGGAGTTCAGTTTGGTGCGCCAAGCTGCTGGCGGAGGGAGCTGAGATGGTCGCCTTGCTCCTGGTTCCCTTCACTTCACCCCAGACTGGGATACTCGACCTCCAAAAAACGGAACCGCCATGCAGTACGAGAATTGTTCAGGGATGTGTTTTCAATGGAGGGTATATACTGCTTGAAGGGTATTCTACTGCCTTAGCTTGCATCCGTAGCTCCAACCCCCATGCCCGAAAACATGCCATGCCTTTGTTTTGGACGCTCCTACTCAAGGCTAAGAAGCGGCACCTTGGCAGCTTTCAGGGGGCTCACCGGCGTTTTGTTTTCTTATTTTGTTTCTTCCGAGTATCTTGATGTTTACTTTAAAGGGAAACCAAATGGAAAATCAAAATCCATTCTGGTGAAGGGTTGGAAAAGAGGGTGTTACGGTTTGTACAAACAGGTTCAGCTTTCCACCAATTAGTGGTTTGGATTGGTGGTTTGGGAGTTTGAAGACTTGGTTCTTGTAGAGGGAAAATGGGGTTCACCCCTCCTTCACCACCAAACCTCTCTCCAAAGCACCTGGTTTGGAGGCAAGCTGAGTGAGCTGGTGAAACTCCGCGGTTGGGAGCCCTCTGGCTGGTGGGAGTTGCCATTCGTTGAGGCGTTCTCTCGGCTTTTCAGACATGGACAATTTGAACCGCTATCCCCACCGCTCACTTCTCGAGTTCCTCGGAGGGTTGGACCATTTTAAGGATAGACAAAAAGTCTAGGGATGTCTAGGGGTTGATTCCAATTCCATTCTTGTCAACCATCAATCTTTTCAACAGCTGTTTGCCCAGGGTTTTTTGGTGGCTTTCTAGAAAGCCACCAAAGATCCCTGGGTTCAGAATAGAAATGGAAGCTAGCCTTAGAAAAAGGTGTGTGTACTTTTTTGGCCAATCCACATCAGAAGTGACTTCACCAATGTCACGCTTTCCTCAGTTGTTCAGTGGCTCCAATTCTTTTCCCAGCTTTTTTTTGGTGGCTGCCAACCACTAAACCTGGTCCAAGCCCCAAAACGGGTCCCAATCCTTTTTTTGCCAGGGTCACAAAAAACAACTGAGCCTCCGCCGCTCCACCGCCGCTGGGCGGGGAGAAGCGCTCGGAGCCGCGGGGTCAGGACCGTGGCGGACCTGATGCGGAGCTGGGGCACCTACCCGCCAGATCCGGAGGCAGCTCGCGGAGCTCCGCTGTCCCAGAGTGGCCCTTTTTTCGGCGGGGTGAAGGCTTGGTGGTCGTTGGGACACATGTTTTCCCATTTTTTTGCGTAAATTGCGGTTTAGTGGTTGAAATCCAAATCCACTTAACTGCTAAAATTTAAATTGCTGTTCCCCTTCCAACGGCAACCCATGAAGGGAAACTGACAGTGAAACCACCATTTTGCAACTGCCAGTTCCGAACTCCCAGCGAACCGTCCGGTTCCTCAGGTTTATGGGCTTTTAGCTGGTTTGGTGGTTGGGTGGCCGAATATTTAACCCACGAATCACAAAAACAAAATCGGGGGGGTTCCGAATTTAACTCACGAATCACTATGTGTTTAGCCGGGGATCTGAGAACGGACAGCCCAGAATGCTGGGTCTGTCCATTTGGCCTGCCCTGCCGCCAGCTCCAAGGCGGCCCGTTATTGAAATGCCAGGCACCTGGAAGTTGGAAGGTACGATGTGCCGATGCTTTGCTCACTTTTTGAGTTCCTTCACTTTGTCCACTTTTTCGTCTGGCACTTTCTGGTGGCAACTAGGTCCCCCAGCTCGGTGCCCTTTCTGGAGGGTCCCCTACTAAAATAGACTACCTGTGCATCCGCCAGGCTGAGTCGGGGTCAATACACTCAGAGCGGTCAATGGGTGAGTCTTTTTGAAGGCTCTCCCCCTGTTTCCGGTTTCTCGGTTGCCCCGTGGCGCCCTTTTTTTCCCCATTTTTTTTGGGGGGGGTAAAGGTTCTCCCTGAAACTCAGCAAACCAAAAAAGGGGTGCCGATCCTTTCCTTTTTTCCCGTGGAAATCCACGCATCCAATGGTCTTACGGCTGACTTCCGGAGTTTCGCCAGCTTCACTTGTATCAGATCCTGATTGAACCAGTCAACCTCATAGATATAGGTGTCAACTGGTGTTAAGGGCAAACCATCTTTTTTTGGGCTTACTTTTTGGGTTTGGACCATTTTAGTGCCAAACAAGTTGTTTGGACTTGGTTTGGCCAATCCACTCGATCTTAAGTGAGGTTTGGCTTTCACAGGAAATTCCAACTGGTTTGCTCACAAGACTCTAGTAAGGCCATGTTGAGGCTTCATTTTTGGGGAAATCAGGGACACCACTAGGAAACCCACCAATTTTAGGGTCGCCTAAAAACACAGATACCCATATGGCGGGGTTGTCAAGCATCGGATCATTGGTGTCATTCTTTTGAACGGCGCCACAGAGGCGGCAGGGTGCAGGCCATACGGTGGATGGGACTAAATCCTGCACCACTTTGAAACCATGGGTATTTACAGGGGAATCCATCCCCAGTCATTTTGGCAACCCCTCGTATGCTTCCTTACAGTGGACATATTTAGAGTCAGGGAACCCGAACCCGGTCCAATGGGGAAACCATTTCCAAAGGAGCCA